CTTAGATGGGATATTGGGAAGGAATCATGGAATGTTTTGGGTTGGAAGTACTTAAATCTCATCCAGTCCCTCACCTCTGCCATGGGCAGGGATGCCTTCCACTAGCCCAGGGTGCTCCAAGCCCCGTCCAGCCTGGCTTTGAACACTGCCGGGGATGGGGCAGCCACAGCTTCTCGGGGCAGCCTGTGCCAGGGCCTCACCAGCCTCACAGGGAGGAGTGTGTCCCCAACATCTGACTCATCCTCCTGTCAAAGCTGCCTCCCATCCTCTAGGTAAATTCTGGTATAAAGCACTGACAGTTCCAAGCAGGATCTTGGTGGGATTAATTGTGTGACAGGGTAAGGGGGAATCTCAGAGTTAAAACAGTTGAGGTCTGAGCACTGAGGCTTTAGCAGGCCTGATTTGTTAGTGTCTAGGAGAAGGATTAAGAGAATATTTGGCCCAACATGAGCATGTCTGTTAGAAGATGAATCCTATCCCATATTTCTTGGATGTTATTATTTTCCATCACCTGTAAAGCGGTGCAAATAGGCACATTGTACATATGCATTTGGCCACTGATTCTGGAGGAGTGATCCTGGTTCTGAAACCTGGGGGTTTTGGGACATTCCAGGTGCCTTTGGGCATCTAAAGCTCAGCAGGCGTGACACCTGCCGTGCAGAGACCCACAGCCTCCTCGCAGCAGCTGGAGGCCAGGCCAGGTGACCTCAGGCATCCCAGGTGACACGGAGAGCCTGTGTATGAGCACCTCAATTGCTGTCCTGGCTATGGTTTGTTTGCACTTTATTTAAAGTGACTTTCCCAAGGCCTAAGGGCTCGGTGATGGGGAGAAGTAGATTTCCCCCCTTGCTGCCTAATTTACCTTCTGGAATTTTTCTTTCCTTGAAGCACCAGGGGCTTGGCTGCAGGATCAGTAGGGATGGTGCCAGTGTGCTCAGTGGTCTGGTGAATGTCTCGGGTCCTGTATTGGTGTTTTCTGCTCAAAACATCCAGCTTCAAACAATTGCTGGAATTTTTTCCCAGGTCATATTGTCAGGATGTAGCAGGATTCCTTTCCTTTCCCGTTTAATGCTGGGGCAGTTCTCTCCCACTCTTCCTGGGAAGCTTTTGCTGGTAAAATTGTGGCTGTTGAAGGTGTGGAGGCCATTGGTGATGTGCTTGCGCTTTCCTCTTCCCTTCTGGAAGTGCACTGCAGGGTTTTTGGACTAGGGGACTTCATGGTCTTAGTTTTCCAGTATTGTCATGGGAATGGAAGGAGAGATGTTCAGGGTTCCCTCTGGCTGAGCACATCACACAGCTGCTCACAGCTGCAGCTGCTGGGCTGGCATCAGCTCCTCTCCTCCTGTACCCACTTCAGTTCCTGAGTTCAGTGCATGAGCTGTAACTGCACACAGATTATCTTGTTACCCATTATAAAAAAATATTTTGTTACCCATTATTAAGACCCCCAAGCAAATTGCCACACCTTATTCTTTTTAGCATTCTCATTTCTCCCTCAAAGTCTCATTACTCATGTCAGAAGATTTTGTAAACTGGGACCAGCAAATAAAATAAAATGAAATTCCTAATTAAATAAACAAGCATGTAAGTAAGTAAAATTCTCTATTAATCAGTACTTACAGGCTAAAAATCTACATTTGCAGTATTTTCAGTTTGTGGCTCAGTTTATTTGACAGTTTTGATGGTTCAGAATTCCAGAAATACAACATTTGTCTTTTTCTGGGTTGAAAGAAGCTGCAGGAAATAGATTTGCAGGTGAAGTTCAAACAAGGTTCCAGCCCCTGCTTGGAGTCACAGAATCACAGAGTAAGCTGAGTTGGAAGGGGCCACACATGGAGCCCAGCTGCTGGCCCTGCACAGGATCATCCCCAGGAGTCCCACCCTGTGCCCAGGAGTGTCCAAATGCTTTTTGAACTCTGCCAGGGAACCTGTTCCAGCACCCAACCACCCTCAGGGGGAAAAGCCTTTCTTCAATTTCCAGCCTCACTCTCCCCTGATCCAGCTGCAGCTGCTCCCTCGCGTCTTGTCACTGGTCACCCCAGGGAGGGGATCGGTGTCTGCTCCTCCTCTTCCTCTCATGAGGAAGTTGTGGAGTGCACTGAGGTCTCCCCTCAGTCTCCTGCAGGTTCTTTTAGGTGCCCCTGATCAAAGAGAATCCAGCCATCAGGGAAGAAGAGAGCTGATAACTCTAATAACTGATGTGTGTCCAGGCTCCTATCCCTCTGAGGGGAAACCTGACCTTGTTCTCCCTGAACTCTGGTTAAAATGAACCAAGGCTTAAAGCATGGAATGCCCTACAAAATACATGGAATACACAGTTCTGGTGTAAAAAAAATAGCAGGGCAATGTGGCACAGTAAGTAATCCATCTCCTATTTCCTGAGGCATGTGAACTGCTCCTCCACCAAACCCAGCCTTGCACTGGGATAATGGACACACTTGGAATGGAGCAAGACTAGTTAAGAGAGAAGTGAAAAGACAGGAGTTTAAAAGCCAGTTCTGTCTTAGAAACCTCCCTCTGGCACAGAAATATCTGTCAGAAGTGGTATGTGATTGCTTACATCTGATTTGGAGAGGAATTGCTTTCCAAATAGTGGATGGCTTGATCCAGAACTGGAGAACTGGCCTGGCAGTCAGCAGCTTCATGACACCAAATCTGACCCAGGGCTTCAGAGCTCTGCCAGCTTCAAACAGGTCATCCCAGGGGCTGGAACAGAGCAAAACAAAATTATAAAAATCCATTAACTAAGTGCAGAATCCATCTGAAGGCAGCAAGATGTAGGCCGTAACAGGAGAAATTATTTTCCTTGACCTGAACTCAGCTTACACCCACCAAAGTGACAAAAGGTCATAAATATCCTTTGGGGTTCCAGGTACTTTCTTCCCTTCTGCTTTACCTAACAGGGAAGGATTTTGGAAGATAAATTAAATATCCAGAGCTTTGTGTTTGTGTGTATATATATGTATGTGTGTATGTATAGCTATTTATTTATTTACATACTTACTTATATGTATAAACCAGCATTTTTCATGCAAACTGAGGATTCATCAACATGGTGGTGTTCTCTTTGCAGCCAGGGAATTAAGGATGCCAACAATTTATGGCATCATGGAAGCACAAGATGGTTTGGGCTGGAAGGGACTCATCTTTTCCACCCTATGCAAGGACAACTTCCACCAGACCAGGTGGCTCCAAGCCATGGAACGTGTGAAGAGCTGGGCAGACACCTGTGGGGGCACAAACACAACTTCTGGCTTTTATTTCACAGTTATGAGCCATGGGTCTTTTCCAGGCCCTTCCAAACATCCCGGGCAGGCTTCCCTGATCATCCAGGCCAGCAGCCCACCCCCACTGCTGGGTTCAGTGACACCAGGACTCCCCCAGCTCCATGTCCTTGTTCTCCCAGTGTCTCAGGGTAACCCACGAGGAGCAGTTTGCTTTCACATCAGATTTACTTCTTCACTGGTGCCATTTTCCCTGCTTATTCACAAAGGTACTCGGTGCCGCTTGGGGAACTCAGGTGAGTCCTCACTACACAGGTGGGAGCAGAGCCTGACCCCCACCTGGCTGCACCCTCCTGCCGGGGAGCTGCGGAGCAGCCGCAGTTCTCGCAGATCAGCCCAGCTGAGCACAGGGTGTCCTGGTGTCCCTCTGAGCCTACCACCTGCAGGATCATTTTCTGTCCTTCTGGCCCTTGTGCTGGCAGCAGAGATGCCCTGGTCACGGTTTGTAGATGTCTCCTGTAGACTGAGGAATCAGAGTTCAGGCACAAACCTCCCTTTTTGGGAGGTGAGGAATAAAACATCCATATCCCCAGCCGACTCCAGCTGTGAGTTCCTGCTGAACCTGTGTAGTGCTGCTGTTTTCTGTGGTCCTGCCCAGTAAGAGTCACTATTGCCTGATGCTTATTTAAAGCTCAGTCTTCTCCCTCTTCATTTATAACTGTAGTGAAAAAATTATATTAATCAATATAAAATTGCTTTGCCACTTCACCAGCATGACCTTTTCTTTTGCTGTTTTGATTGCCCAGCAGTATCAGAGGGTTCTTCTGATACTTCTTCCTTTTAATGCTGCACTTGGTCCTTTGTCTCTCACATTCCCATCTCTGAGCACTGTGAGCAGTTTGCTGTGGGACCTCTGTCCCCTTCCTGGGTCATATATGAATGAGTTTGATATATTGTTCTTCTGTCCAAGATTGATAGAGTGTGGGAACAAGTCCTTAAAATGACACTGCTGAAGTAGTTAAAAGCAGGAACATTGGTGACTTGAGCATCCTGAAATCACAGAATCCCAGGATGGTCTGAGTGGGAATGGACCTTATTACCAAATATTGCATATGAGCTCCTTTCAGCTCTGTTTTTTCTTAACATGAGGAGATGGAAGAACTGATCACATCCCTTGTTTTTTATTTCTTCATTCATGTCATGGAGACTCCTCTGCCTTCTGACTGTGTTACACCAGCAGGACACCCCAGCACCCACGCACCACCTGCTTCTGTTCATGTGCTGAGGTGGTGATAACCCACTCTGTAAGGGTCCAGGGGGTGCCCTTGTGTTCAGGCAGGTGCTTTTGGTTTAGGGCCACATTACACATAGTAAATAACTTCTGTAGCATTTGGAAATTAATTTGAATGGGGTGTAGATAATAACCACATACAGCTTTGCTCTTGAGTTTTAAACCAACAATAAATTGAAGCTTAGCAACTGGCAGCCTAAAAGAGAAAGTTGATTGTTCTGTTGGATGTATTGGCCTTGCTTATCACAGGGCTGCCTGGCTGATTTGTTCCATATTTTGGCCCAAAACAGTTAGCTGTGTGAAGGTGATGGTTAAGTGACTCACACCTTTGCCTAATTTTAGGCTCCCATGCCTTTGGATTGAACTTTCTCCAGCATTGCTCCATGTTCTTTTAATCGCTGCCTTTGCTCCCTGAGGAGGATGTGTTGGATGTGTTGCTGTCGTGACACTGCTGTATGTCAGGGATGTTTTTTGTTTCCCTCCAGCTCTCCCTCCCCTGATGGCTCGTCGATCCCAAAGCTCCTCCCAGGGGGACAACCCCCTGGACCCCAACTACCTTCCCCCCCACTACAAGGAGTACTACCGCCTGGCCCTGGATGTGCTCACGGAGGAGGGCAAGGAGAGTTACCAGCGCTTCCTGGCCGAGGAGGCGGCCCCTGATTTCCTCTGTGGCTCCGAGGTGGACCACATAATCCAGAACCTCCAGAAGCCCCAGTACGCCCACCAGGAGGGCAGCACGGACACGGCGGGGGACAACGACATGGACGGATCCTCCGGGACGTACTGGCCCATGAACTCAGATCTGGCCGTTCCTGAGCTTGACCTGGGCTGGCCGATGGTCTTTGGCTTCAGGGGAACAGAGGTGACAACGCTGGTGCAGCCACCCCCACCAGACAACCCCAGCATTAAGGAGGAGGCTCGCAGGATGATTCGAGCAGCTCAGCAGGTGAGACAGGGAGAGCCCAGCTAGAGCAGAGGTAAAACCACACCTGTGCCAGAGAAGTATCAGGACAGACAATTACAGTGCAGTGGTTTGGGTCAGAGGGACCTTAAAGCTCCTCCAGTTCTACCCCCCTGCCACGGGGATGGACACCTTCCACTAGCCCGGGGTGCTCCAAGCCCCGTCCAGTCTGGTCTTGGATGCTTTCAGGAATGGGGCAGCCAGAGCTGGTACAGCAGCTCAGGGCATGCTGTACCAGGGCCTTATCCTCCTCACAGGGAATAATTTCTTCCCAATATCTCATCTAACTCTGCCCTCTGGCAGTGTAAAGCCACTCCCCTTGTTTTGTCACCCCAGGCTTGTCCAAAGTTCCTCCTGACCTCTCAGAGTCACTTCAGGCACTGGAAGAGGCTGTAAGGTTTTCCTGGAGCCTCCTCTCCTCCAGGCTGAGCAAGATCACGTCCTCTGCTAATTCCCTTAACTTTTCTTCCAGAATCTGATAGAGGAGGAGGATGATCCAAATCCACCATTGACTGCACCAAAGCTTGTCTCTGCTCTGCTGTCATGGCACCGTGTCCTAGGCCTTGCTAAAATACACCAAGAGTTCACAGAATTCCAAAACGTTAGAGATTGGAAGGGGCCTCTAGAGCTGGTCCTGTCCACTCCCCTGCTCAGAGGAGGTCAGTTAGAGAGGGTCACTCAGGATGTGTCCTTGAGCGTCTCCAAGGGTGGAGACTAAACCTTTCTGGACAGCCTGTTCCCACATTGACGGTCTCCTTACAGTCACAGAGGCTTTTCTGTAACTGAACTGTAATTTCTTGTGTTTCAGTTTGTCCTTGTCCTCTCCCTGGGCACCACTGAGAAGAGTTTTACTCCTTCCTTACACCCTTTCCATCGAGTATTTCAACTCAGGGAGCTGGGAAGGACAGGAAGAAATGAGAAGCTGCTTCCCATAAAATCAGCACACGGATGCAGCTGAGTAATGGCTGCCTGAATGCTGGCCAGGAAGTTACCTAAAAATGGCACGGGGATGTTGGAGTGGGGGACCAGCACCATACACCATCCAGTGTGATTACGTGGCCAAAAAGTTCATGGAATTATTGAATGATGAGTCGGGAAACACGCAGGGAGGTTTCCCCTCACCTGCATACACAGAACATGCACCTTTCTGGACAGAAATTCTCCTTCCAGTTCGGGGCCCACAGTGCTTAATGGGACCTTTAATTGGGATGTTTCCTGTTTCAAAAGGAAGCTGAGATGGGGACAGTGCAGCTTTGGGGTGTGAGAAGCTGGGATACACGGTTGGTCAGGGCATGAGGCAGCACAGGCTCATGTGTCCTCATCCCTTCCCCAGGTGGTGGCCATCGTGATGGACATTTTCACAGATGTGGATCTGCTGTTTGAGGTGCTGGATGCTGCTTCTCGCCGAGTGCCTGTCTACATCCTGCTGGACGAAATGAACTCCCAGCTCTTCCTTGACACAGCTGCCAAGTGCAGAATCAACCTGAACTATGTGGAGGTGAGCACAGACCTGCCCTACCTGATTGGTGTCCTGAGGGGGTGTGTCCTGCCTCACAGAGGGCCAGTATGGCAGGAAACACCTGGGAAGGGTGAGAACCTGGTGAAAGATGAGTGTGAAGTGAGGAGAGCTGGCTCGACATGGGGTGAGGCTGGAGATGTGCTGAGGAAGGGGTTTGTACATCGGTGTGTGCAGACAGAACCACTGGAGCTGGATAATCCCACTGGGGGTGGATGGAGGTTAAAAGGAGGCAGGGAAGGAGGGGCAGGGGAGGGAATGAGGGTCCCATCTGAGTCTGTGCCTTTCTGGTTTGCAGTTCCTGAGGGTGAGGACAGTGTCTGGCCCAACCTACTACTGCCGCACGGGGATGTCCTTCAAGGGGCACCTGAAGGAGAAGTTCCTGCTGGTGGACTGCATGGTGGTGCTGAGTGGCAACTACAGGTGAGGAGCCCTGTCCAGCTCAGAGAGAGACTCAGGTGCTTTGTGCACGGGCTTGGCTGCAGAGGAGCTCAGCTCCCATCTGATCCATTCCAGAGAGAATTTGCCATAGCATAAGGAGTATAAGATTTGCATCTTAGCCTGGACCAAATTAACTTTGACCTCCACTCACAGAATCATCAAATCACAGCATGGTTTGTGTGGGAAGGGACTTTAAAGCTCATCTTGTTGCACCCCCACAGCCCCATATGGGACACCTCTCACTGTCCCAGGCTGCTCTGAGCCCATCCAGCCTGGCCTTGGACACTTCCAGGGATGGGCAGCCACAGCTTCTCTGGGCAACAGAGGGGTGGGTGGTTTTAGTGGTGGGTGGTTTTAGTTAGGATTGAAATCAGCCATTAACACATTACCATCCTTTTGGGAATAACAGTCTTGACCAGCTAAGGCATTCATTTCTGGCAGAATAAATGTTTTTAGTGAGTTGTAGTAGAATAATTTCTTCTTCATATATTAAAAGGGTGATGGGATAAACACCTGTCATGCTCTAAGAATGTAATCATAGAATCACAGAATAGTTTGGGTTGGACAGACCCTAAAGCTCATGTGGTTTCTCCCCATGCTGTTGGCAGGGAAATCTTCTAGGCCAGATTGATCCAATCCTACCATGAGTTGCTTCTCATGGTGAAAGTTAAGCAAATAGAATTAAGGGTATTTAAAAACACAGTATATGAAGAATAAATTGTAATAATCTGATTAAGGTGCATATTCCATGACAGTAAGATTTCACTTTGGTTTTTTTCCCTGATGTTTGAAAATAATTATTCACATTTGATTCTGTACCAAATATTAAGTGTTCTGATTGGATCATTTCTTGTTCATGAGAGCATCAAGTAAATTGTTCAGGACTACTTCTGCCACACTCCCATGGCTTTGGGCTTTCCAATATTGTATCATTTCTGAAGTAGGAAGATGGGAAGTGTTCAAGATGAGGCTCAACAAGGCTTGAAGCAGCCTGAGCTAGTGGAAGGTGTCTTTGTGCATGGTAGGGGGATGAAACAGGGTGTGATGGCCCCTTCCAACCCAAACCAGTCTGGGATTCTGAGAGACAGGCTGGTGAATTGGTAAAGCAGCATTCTGGCACTTCCACATGGATATCAGTGACATGGATAAAAGTTTTGCTCACTGAAGGACACTGAGTAGCAGTTTTTTGGGAAAAATACTCCATTTTGCAGTGGAGGTAGATACACCAACTGAAGAAGGCCTTGAGCCCAGACAACCCAAAACCAAGTTTCCTTCACATTAAGAATTAAAAAATCTGTGGGGGAAAAAAAAAAAAAAGACAGTAATTCTAAGGTTTTGGTTAAGCCCAGCAGGCAGCCAAGCCTCACAAAGGTGTTCCTCATGATTCCCAGCAGGATGTGGTAGAGAACTGTAAAGGTGAGAACACTCCTGGGTTGTGATACAGTTTTAACAGCAGCAAACCTGCAAACACAGGCAGGGCAAGGTAAGGGATCCCTTCTCTGCTTCCCATCACTCAGCAAAGAAAGGAAAATAAACCAGAGCTTGACTTGAGAAGATGAACACCATAACACTGAACATCCTCCTCCCTCGTTTCCAGCCCAGCTCCTTCTGTTCAGTCCCCTCAGACTGTGTGGGTGGAAGGGCTGTGCCATCCCCCAAGTAAGATCTTGGGTTTGTCTTTTTGGAGGTTCCTGTCGGCACATCTCCCAGCCTTTGGGGTCCCCCTGACTGGTGTCACCTGCCAGGTGCTGAGGGGACACACTGGCAGTTGTCCAGGTCGTTACTGACAGTGCTAAAGACAGGAACATCTGCTTCACACAAGGACTATCATCAGCTCACTCTGGGTGACATGACTGACTGGCTTTTTAGAACAGAAATCATTTATTGCCTTGTAAAATTCTCTGCAAAGATGTGATCCCAAATCAAGCAAGCTGTTAGGTTTGGGAACAGTCATGTGTAGCACGTAGCTGCAAGGGAATTGTCTACCATTATTTTGCCCTATTTCTGCCCAACCAGAAAATTTAGAATTTGCTTCAAATGTTTTAATGAAAACAAGTAAAGCTGAGTTACTCCATCACTTCTGTTCTCTCTTCAGTTTCATGTGGTCCTTTGAGAAGATTCACAGGAGCATTGCACACATCTTCCAGGGTGAGCTGGTGGCCAGCTTTGATGAAGAATTCCGCATTTTGTTTGCACAGTCAGAACCTCTGGTTCCTCCAGCCAACGTCCTGGCAAAGACAGAGAACGCGTTTGCCATGGCTCCCTTTGGCAATAACATGCCTTTCTTCCCCAAAAAAGGCCCCCTGATGTTCCAGAGGGATGAGAGTCTCTTCCCCTCCTTCATGGACAGGGTGGATCCGGACAGGTACTTCCTGTCCAATTTCCGGCGGGACGACATGCTGCGGCACACTGTGGAGGGGTCGGCCATGCGGATGTACAAAAAGGTGGAAATGGAGAATTCCCAGATGGATCCGGTCAGGGGCTTCCTCCGCTCCAAGCAGCTGGAGCTGGACGCTTTTAAGAGACACAGTTTTGCAGAAGGAACGTTTGAAAACTTTGCTTCTGCCAAGCAGTACACCCGGCAGATGTTCATGAACAACATGGATGAATTCAAAATCCAATCCAGTCATTTCCAGAAGGACCAGTTCTACCAGTACCAGTTTGAACATCCCCATCTTCCTGGCAGACCTCAGGGATTCTTTGAGAGGATTCGAGGGGGGAGGCCGGGATTCAATGAACTGGAAGACTATGGAGAGGGACCCCGATACCCTGAACTGGAGCCCAGTTTCCCACAGGAGGGTTTCCCCCTACGGCTGGACTACGTGCCCTCCAATTCTTCCAGGGAGGTGAGACACGGCTCCGACCAGCTGAACCCCGCGGGCAACGGCCCCATGGGAATGATGTTACGGAGGCAGAACATAGGACAGAAATTCATTTGCCAGACTTCTCCCACGCAGAAGCAGAGCCTGGAGCAGCGCCTGTTCCTACAGGACAAGGATGAAGAGCAGGATGACGACAAGAACACGCAGGAAAACAGAACAGGGTTACGGAACTGGAGGATTTCTTCGTACCTCAGCGCATACCAGTCTGAACCAGATGAAGGGCTCCCGATGCCGATGGAGTCTGAGGCGTATAACGATGCTCTTGGGGATCCCCTCACAAAGCACCCCACTGACCTCGTCCCAGCCTTCAAACCCCCCACGCCCTTCAGCAGCAAGCCACTGGGAATTGACAGTGCCAAGGAATCTGCAGATTCTGATAGAGCAGGTGAAGAAACCTCGATAATGAAACCAGATGCCTTCAGGTCCAGGATAAATCCTTTGATCCAGAGAAGCTCCAGGCTCAGGTCCTCTCTGATTTTCAGTGCTGCCAAATTAGATCAGCCCAACACCACAATAGAAAAGGTGCAGATGATCCAAAAAGAGCAAATGTCCAGTGAGTTAACAAAGGACAATGAAACCATCAAGACGGCTGCCTCCTCCAAAGTGGCTGAGCTGCTGGAGAAGTACAAAGCTGTGGGCAAGGACATGGAACGGGGCACGGTCACCCACACCAAAGCTGTTTCAGGTTACCTACAGGAGGAATCTCAGAATACGGAGAAGAAATGTACCAAATCTGTGCAGTATAAGATTCTGGAGAGCAGGGTGCTGGACTCCAAAGACTCCTGCAGTACTTACAAAATGCATGGAGAGTTGGACAGAGCATTTGGAATGGCCTCATCCACCCCCCAGCTTGGGGACGCGTTGAGTAAAGATCCTCTGGCACATCTTGGCACTAAGGTGGACAAGCTGTCATCCCGGTTTTACCCCATCGAGAACAAACCTCCTCTTCCAGAGAAGGAGAGCCTGATATTTGTAGGAGACACTCAGAAATTAGCTCTTCCAGAGAAGAAGGACAGAGTGACCTTCAGAGAAGACTCTCCAAAATTAGTCAACACAGAAATGAAGAAACCACAGGTGAGGACAAGTACTACGTCCTCAGTTCTAGAAAGCCTGTCTAGAAGTCAAGGGTCTGACAGCTCTCTCAACAAGTCTGAGGAAGACTGTTCAAAACAAGAGCAAAATCCTATGGAGTTTTTAAGAAAAGGGTCACTACGGCTGAAGCAGCTTTTGAATCCAAAAGGTGAAAAGAAACTGGAGGAGGAGCCTGCTTCTGAGAGTGGGAAATGTGACAAGCAGGCAGTGGTGCTCAAGCGATCATCCATAGGGGACTGCCAGGAAGCGATGGAGGAAGAAAAACCCCACAAATTCGCAGCAACACTCCCCCCCAAGAGCAGCCAGACAACGCAAGGGAGGTTCCCGTCCTCCACAGCCAACATCCTGTACAGCAGCAACCTGCGTGACGACACCAAGGTGATCCTGGAGCAGATCTCTGCCAACAGCCAGAAGAACAGAGCCGAGCTGGCCAAGCAGCTGCCGTCCACCAGCAACCCTGACCTCTCCAGGTCGACCACAAGCTTGGAAAGAAAAGGGGAAAAGGAGAAAAGCTGCAACATCCACAGGTCTGAGAGCTTTGGGAGCCAGAAACGGAACTTTCAGCGGCAGCCGTCAGAGGACAGAGACACCCTCCTGAAGAAGATGGAGAACATGCGGAAGGAGAAGCGAGTCTACAGCAGGTTTGAGGTGTTCTGCAAGAAGGACGAGCACACGAGTCCCAGTGAAGAGGAGTATGACACAGATGCCAAAGACAAGAAAATGGGAAAATTCATGCCCAAAATCCTGGGGACCTTCAAGACCAAAAAATGATCCTAGAAATCCTATTTAATTCCATTTAATCACTGACTGTCACAGGGAAACAAGGAAGAAACTTGTCTATGATGGCTACAAACCCCCATGGCAATGCTCTTCTTGATTAGTGAGCAGAAATGTATCCAGCATGAGCCTCCCACGGCACAGTTTGCTCAATAAAGTCAGGTGGTATCAAACAACCATATCGCAGTATGTTCCAAATAAAACAATTAAAATGCCAACATGCTTAAAAAACAAGTCTCTGTTACTGTACAAAACTAAGTGATAGTCTCTGTTAAACCCAAGGAATATTTTCAGCAGACAAAACCATTAAAATTTCAGAAAAAAAATGAAAACCAGTAAATTCAATAGTTGAGTTTGGGCCAGAAAAGATAAATACATACGGATGCACACACAGGTATTAAGTGGAAAAAGTATTTTAAGCTCAAGTGTTTTCTCAGGTGCAGTTACACTTTTTCTGTATCTCACAATGAATCAGACACAGAAGGCACATTTTTGAAGGTTTGCATACAAAAAAAAAATTAGTTGTAATCAACATTTTGGCCTAATCTGTGGTTCTGATCTTGTCCAGCTTTCGTGTTTACCAGAGCCTGTGGGGTCTGGTTTGTTCCCTTATGTAAAAGGGAATTGCCTGCTTTAGGGGCTGAGCTCAAAGAAGATGCTGAGGTGCTATTGATGCAGAAGGGCTTGGTTTTAGGAGGCCTTTTCAGGTGAGTCTGAGTTTCAGTAAGCATCTGAAGTCCTGCCTTGGCCAAGCAGTGACTTCCTTGGGAGTGTAACTGCAGTCACATGAGGTGACAGGTCTGGAGCAGCTGAGAGAGCGAGGGGGAATAACAATCATTCATCACAGTAGAGGAAAACCTCAGGAACAAAGACAAGAGCTTCAAGTTAATGAGGAAAATGTATCCAAAATCATCACTGAAACAGGAATATAAAGTTTCCTGTAGTGCCACTGTAGACTGGCAACACCTTTATGTCTCAGAAATAGTATCTCATGAAACTTTGCTTTCTGAAAGCAAAACCAATAACAATTACCATATTGAAGAAGACAGCCCTACCAATAGGCAGTTTCCCTCTCAACACAGCAAATGCTGCTTGAATGACAAAGATTTTCTGCAGTGCAATGTAAAGGATTTATTATTACAATATTATTACAATATTACATACTAGAGAAGCTGTTAAATATTGCAGAAGAACCACCTGTATTTCAAATGTTTTTCTTCTTGATTTTAACAAAACCAGACCATAATGAATTCTGTTAATCTAGTCTAGAACAGTAATAGAAATGAGTGAAGGGCTGTAGGATTATCTGTGAAGAGTTAGGTCTTCATGGTCTTCAGAGAACAGTTACCTGTTCTGCTCAAAAAAATATCACCATATAGGCAAACTGCTGAAGAATCCTGGAATAGGTTGGAAAGGACCATTTAAAGGTCACCCAGTCCCAACCCCTGCCTACCATGGCAGGGACTCCTTCCACTGTCCCAGGCTGCTCCAAGCCCTGTCCAACCTGGCCTTGGACACTTCCAGGAATGGGGCAGCCACAGCTGCTCTGGGCTCCCTGTGCCAGGGCCTCACCACCCTCACAGGGAAGGATTTCTTCCCAACACCCCATCCATCCCTGACCTCTGGCAGTGGGGAGCCATTCTCCGTGTCCTGTCACTCCAGGCCCGTGTCCAAAGTCTCTCTCCAGCTCTCCTGGAGCCCCTTTAGGCACTGGAAGGGGCTCTTGGTCTTCCTGGAGCCTTCTTTCCTCCAGGCTGGACACCTCCAGTTCTCCTAGCCTATCTCCACAGCAGGACTCAAGCCTTCAGAGCAGTTTCTTGGCCTTTCACTAGGCCTTGCTGAACTTCAGAAGGTTCCCCTGGACCCTGAATATGTCTAAAAACCACTCAAGTATCAGAATAATGCAGTTTTCCGTGGTTTTTGCAGTAATTCACACAAGGAGTGTGAAGTGACAGCATTCACTGTTCTCAGGGTGTGAGAGCAAACGCTGTGTCCTTGCCTGCTGAGACTGGAAGGCAGAGGAGTGGGATTCCCTTTCCTATGAGCTTATCCAGAGGAGAGGAGGACATTGTCCTAAGCAGTTAATAAAGCATTTCCTCATAGTTTGCTCTCCCCTGCTGCTCTTGCTCAGTCAGGGGCTGAGGGATGAGCTGTACTTCACCTGTCTGGAACATCTCCACAGTCACTGCTCAGGGTTGTTGGAGGCCTTTGCTATTGGAAGGCTCTGCAGTGCAGATTTACTGATGGTTCCATAGGCCTGGGAGTAACTGCCCATGGATGCCCTTGGATCACCCGCAGCTCCCACATTTGCAGTGATCTGGAACATCTTTTTACTGGGCTTCAGAAGGGGACGAACATCTTTGCTGTGACACTGAGAGTTTCTGGGATTCTGTGTGAGAAAGAAAAGCCAAGAGAAGTTAATAAGCTGGAATCAGCTTTCGGGAGTGCAAATAGGACACAGGTTTGGCTTTGGTCAGCACTATCCTCTCAGGAAACAAACACGAACTCAGGGCACACGTAGGCTGATCTTCTCCCTCTTCAGCTCTTCTTGTCACAGAAAATTGGTCACAATTCCCTGAAGATCCTTCCAAACCCATTGGTCATGTCTACACCTGCATGTGCAGCAAGCTCCACAATCCCATCTTGGGGAATTAATGGCTTCTCTTTCTCTCAAAGCATTTTGGAAGGGATTCCAAATCAGAGGGGCTGAAAGGTGGGCCACAGGTGTACTACTGGAAATGCTTGAAGGTTTCTGACAACCTGGACTAGTGGAATGTGTTCCTGACCATGGCAGAGGGGTGGAAGGAGATCAGTTTTTAGGTCCCTTCCTAAAAAGGCAGTCTGTGATTCAGTGAAACTGTGCTGCCTCCTTCCATACTCTTCCCTCTGTCATAAGCTTCCTCCATCACCTCTGCAGGTGCCAGCAGGCAGCAGACAGCCAGCTCAGGAAGGAAAAAAGCAGAAGCAAGAGGTCATTAAATAACTCAGTGAGAGGGAAGACTTTTCCAAGGAAGCATAGCCAAAATCAGGGAAGAGGGAGGAGCACAGAGGACAGGACTGACACCCTCACAGCTCAGCAACAGCAACCCATTGGATCCACAGAATCATGAAATCAGGGAATCACTAAGGTTGGAAAAGCCCTCTGGGCCCACTGAGTCCAGCTGCTCCCCCAGCACTGCCAAGGCCACCACTGACCCCTGTCCCCACGTGCCACATCCATGTGGCTGTTAAATCCCCCCCTGCCCTGAGGCACTCTGTGCCAGGGCTGCACAGCCCTTGGCAGGTGAGTTTTTTCCAGTATCCAACCTAAACCTCTCCTGGAACCACGTGAGGCCATTTCCTCTCATTCTGTCACTTGTTTCCTGAGCAGACCCTGACCCCCACCTGGCTGCACCCTCCTGTCAGGGAGCTGCAGAGAGTGAGAAGGTCCTCCCTGTGCCTCCTTCTGTCCACAGCTGCTGCTGTGGCTCCAGACCCTTCTCCATCTCTGTTCCCTTCTCTGGACACACTGCAGCCCCTCAATGGAGCCCCTCCTTTCTTGTTGGGAAGAGCCCAAACTTGTCCTCAGGACTGGAGGTCCCTCAGCAGTGTCTAGCAGTCAGAGAGGAACTGCCCTGGGTGTCTGGTCACTCTGTGGCTGCTACAAGCCAGGTGCCACTGGCCTCTTATTCACCTTGGCACAGCTGGGCTCATGTTCAGCTGCTGTCATCAGCACCAACACCAGGTGACCTTTTCCAGCCTTCCAACCACTCTGCGTGGAGCTCTACAGGGAGTTGCTGTAATCCAGGTTACCACAGGTAAGGGCTAGAAGTTAAGCTACTCACATTGTAAAGGTTCTGCACACTTGTAGGAGAGAGCCGAGTGTTTGGCCATGTGATTTGTCTCCCTAGTTTCTCATTGCTGGAGATTCTGGACTGTTGAGGTGGTGCAGAACAGTTCCTGATCCCAGCACCAGGATTTGCATTTCCTGCAGAAGGAAAAACATAAGAGAAAGTAGGAAAATCAGAAGAACACATAAACATTGACTGAGGCAGGGACAGTCCCATACTCAACATTCCTTCAACAGTGTTTTGTTCTTATGTCATTTCCCTCCCACACTTCCAGCCCTTCATTTTACCATGCAAATTCCCTTCATTTCTTTTGCAGCCCTCATGCTCTGTTCCCCACACCAACACCCCAAGGCGGGTTACACCCCGGTGTAGGAGGGTGGTACCTACTCTGCACAGTGGTGTGTGTGATGGGGTTGTACATCATGACACTAATCTGGGATCTCTGACCCAGAGTTCTGGCCAAATCCTTGCTTGGGCTGGACCCTGCTGGTTGGACCCCAGCTGTGGCTCCGGGGTGCACATGTGAAGGGTTTAGCACAGGGGGTGCTGGCTCTTGCTGGCCTTTCCTGGTGGGTGCAGCCACTGCGCCGAAACCTGGCAGAGGTGTGCTAGACTCAGCCTGGCTCAGCTGGATGTTTTCTCTCTGCCCTTGCTCCTTTGGAAGGCTCTTTGACTTCTTTTCAAGGATCATCTGCAGAACAGAAAAGCTAGTTAGACTTAACACAGCAATACAGCAGAAAAATAAAGCATCAAAACAAAGAGGAATACTTATAAATATCTGCAATTTATTTCACAGGGTAAGTAACAAGTATAATTTTGGAATTAGATGATCTCTAAAGTCCCTTTCAACCCAAACCATTCTGTGAATCTTTCTCAGACATCATGCTTCAGATTTTTCTTTGCCCTATGGGAATTTTACATGTAAAGGTCTCTCAAAGATTAGGGCAGTATGGAACTGATCACAGGTGTAATGTGCCAGCAGGTACAGAAAGCCCAGAGAACACAGAGACAAGACAATGACAGAATCTGTTAAGTGTGTGCAAGAATGGCAGGTTACCTGGAGGACTAGGATTTGGGAAAATAGGATGAAAGTACCTCATATAATTTATTTCTATATTCTGCCACAGACAGCTGGACATCATCACCCAAAGGAAGGATCACATCAAAATCCAAAGAGGGCTCCCTGGAAGGACAGTGGAATCTGAGGGAATGAGAAAACATCATGTAATTAATGGAAATTACATGACTGGAAACAGATTATTAAAATTTAAACAGGATTGTTAAACAATCTCGTGTAAATAGGGTTGGAGAAAACAAAGAATTAGCTTTGCCATTTTTCCGTAATGCCTTTAAAGAGAATTTATGCCAAGAGCAAGTTTGTAATGTCTCAGAAGACATCAGGGGAAGCTGCACACTGGTGTCACTCTCACCTGCTCACGTAAGGATGCTGCAGAGCCTCCTCTGCTGTGAGCCGTTTGTCAGGGTTAAAGACCAGCAGTTTCTTCAGCAGATCCAAGGCAGGCAGTGGAGTGGAGGATGGGAAAATCTCCTCAAATGCTACTCGCTGCCTAGAAGTCAGAAAAAAATGATAAAAGCTCTCAGTGTCTAATCTCCAGTAAAGGCAGGAGTGACAGTTCCAGGATCATGTCAAGGTGACACCAGGAACAAGGTGACTCACAAAGTGTGTCATAATCACTGAATCCTAGAATGGTTTGGCCGGGAAGGGACCTTAAAGCTCATCACTTCCCAGCCCCACGATCCCACTAATCTAGACCTGAGATTACAGAAACATACTTCTCTGTAATTTACAGAGAAGATAAAATTTAAAAATCTGGTTTTGCATTTTGAAATCCTAAATACAATTGTGAACATAATGAAGAAGAAAGTATTTTGAAAAAAATCAGTTTTAAGCACCAAATCTTACTCATATTTTAAATAATTTTTATTTAAGGAGACAACTTAGAGCCCCTTCCACTGCTGCAAGAGGCTCAAAGGCAGCTGGAGAGGGACTTTGGACAAGGGTGTGGAGTGACAGCACAAGTGCAAAGGGCTTCCCACTGCCAGAGGGTAGGGTTAGATGGGGTACTGGGAAGGAATTATTGCTTGTGAGAGTACTGAGGGACTGGAATGGTTTCCTGGAGAGGCTGTGGCTGCCCCATCCCTGGAAGGCCAGGTTGGATGGGGCTTGGAGCAGCCTGGTCTAGTGAAAGGTGTCCCAGTCCATGTCAGGGGGTGGAATGAGATGAGCTTTGAGGTCCCTTCCCACCCAAACTGTTCTGTGGTTCCGTGACTCCAGGGTCCTGCATTAGATGATCTGAGACACACGAACACCTCAGGCTTACCTGGAACTCATGTGCTTAATAACTGAGGCCTTGTACTCTGACTGCAGAGCCAAAATATCTGCAAGAATAAAAACATACTGTTACTGCCAAGAACAGGATTAGCAGAGCTGCACAGTTAATGAAGGAAAGCCAATACTTGATATTAACCTAGGAAATTATCCACACAGAACTCGGTCTGTGATCTAGGAAGAACTCGGAGATCTAGGGAAGGGGGATGGAATACTTACAAATTTTCTAAGATGATTTTTGAATTCCTATTTATTAATTTGTACACTTCATAAACTTGCATTCTTATAGCAACAGATGCAGAGCACAATGATATCTGAATTTCTAATTTTTCTCTAACACTAACATTCAGGACGAGGATTTTAATTCCTTTGGAAAGAGGCCAGAATGAACGAGATACCTTCTTCCCTGACCCAGCCAGGCTGCTTTCTTCCACTGAACCCCTTCAAGAGATCCCTTTCCCCACAGCAGGGTCCTACCTTCTGGGGATGGAGCAGGGATGACCCTCAGGATCTGCTCTATTTGGTTCATTGTTGATGTTCCAGGAAAAAGAGGCTTTCCAAGCAGCATCTCTCCAAGAATACAGCCAATGCTCCACATGTCCACACCCTTTGTGTAACTACAAACAGGAACAGAACAATGGTAGGATTAAATGAAGCAAATATTTTCCTGTACCTGGTATTCACATCACCTACATTGATTTATTCACTAGAAAGCACGCTTGGTGACTTCTCAAATATAAATACTCACAGGTTTGAACTATAAATTGAGTAACATTTGGGAATCATGAGACTGGTAAGCATGAAACAGAAAGAACATTTATCCTACTCAAAGTCTAGTCTAAGAAACCATAAAAGAAAATCTAGGGAAATGCTAGAACAAGGTAATATATTAAAAGTAATGCCAGAACAAGTATTATATCCTTTTCATATGACCAAGAATGAAGATATACATTGTTCTTTGGTCATAATGCACATACAAAGTAGTTACAATTACTTAAGAATTACATTTGTAAGCAAAGTAAATGCCAAACAGTGGGTATAGGACAATTTGCAAAACACCCACATTTAAAAGGTGTGGAGTGACAGCACAAGTGGAAAGGGCTTCCCACTGCCAGAGGGTAGGGTTAGATGGGGTACTGGGAAGGAATTATTGCTTGTGAGAGTACTGAGGGACTGGAATGGTTTCCTGGAGAGGCTGTGGCTGCCCCATCCCTGGAAGGCCAGGTTGGATGGGGCTTGGAGCAGCCTGGTCTAGTGAAAGGTGTCCCAGTCCATGTCAGGGGGTGGAATGAGATGAGCTTTGAGGTCCCTTCCCACCCAAACTGTTCTGTGGTTCCGTGACTCCAGGGTCCTGCATTAGATGATCTGAGACACACGAACACCTCAGGCTTACCTGGAACTCATGTGCTTAATAACTGAGGCCTTGTACTCTGACTGCAGAGCCAAAATATCTGCAAGAATAAAAACATACTGTTACTGCCAAGAACAGGATTAGCAGAGCTGCACAGTTAATGAAGGAAAGCCAATACTTGATATTAACCTAGGAAATTATCCACACAGAACTCGGTCTGTGATCTAGGAAGAACTCGGAGATCTAGGGAAGGGGGATGGAATACTTACAAATTTTCTAAGATGATTTTTGAATTCCTATTTATTAATTTGTACACTTCATAAACTTGCATTCTTATAGCAACAGATGCAGAGCACAATGATATCTGAATTTCTAATTTTTCTCTAACACTAACATTCAGGATGAGGATTTTAATTCCTTTGGAAAGAGGCCAGAATGAACGAGATACCTTCTTCCCTGACCCAGCCAGGCTGCTTTCTTCCACTGAACCCCTTCAAGAGATCCCTTTCCCCACAGCAGGGTCCTACCTTCTGGGGATGGAGCAGGGATGACCCTCAGGATCTGCTCTATTTGGTTCATTGTTGATGTTCCAGGAAAAAGAGGCTTTCCAAGCAGCATCTCTCCAAGAATACAGCCAATGCTCCACATGTCCACACCCTTTGTGTAACTACAAACAGGAACAGAACAATGGTAGGATTAAATGAAGCAAATATTTTCCTGTACCTGGTATTCACATCACCTACATTGATTTATTCACTAGAAAGCACGCTTGGTGACTTCTCAAATATAAATACTCACAGGTTTGAACTATAAATTGAGTAACATTTGGGAATCATGAGACTGGTAAGCATGAAACAGAAAGAACATTTATCCTACTCAAAGTCTAGTCTAAGAAACCATAAAAGAAAATCTATTACAGGCAAATGCTAGAACAAGGTAATATATTAAAAGTAATGCCAGAACAAGTATTATATCCTTTTCATATGACCAAGAATGAAGATATACATTGTTCTTTGGTCATAATGCACATACAAAGTAGTTACAATTACTTAAGAATTACATTTGTAAGCAAAGTAAATGCCAAACAGTGGGTATAGGACAATTTGCAAAACACCCACATTTAAAAATCGGGATACTACCTCACATCTATTTATTGACTTTTCTGGTTTTTCATACTTAATTTTTAAAAAAAGGACTAAGCCCGACTAACAGGCAGCTGGTTTAACATTTGATTAAGGAATATTTCGTGGAGGTCTATCAAAAACACTGCTTCAATTTGGAAAAGAGGATTCACATTCTCAAGCAGATTTTCTAAAGTTGTGGGTTTAAGGGAGAAGACATAAATCTGCTGGGAGAAAGGGTGACAAGCAGATGAGCTGCTTGAGTATGTCCACTGACACTCTAAGAACACAGGAAGGACGTGCACATGCTCTTAAGAGGTTTTTGTGTTGCAGAAGTTTAATTGCACACTGAGAAAGCAGACTGCTGACATGACACTGCATCTGGTGACACTGACTGAAGACTTTCAGACAAAAAAATGTGCAAGCAGTGAGGTGCCAGGCTGCCCTCCCCTCCCTGACTCACCCGCGGGAGGCCAGCAGGATCTCGGGCGCTCGGTACCAGCGCGTGGCCACGTACTCGGTGAGCGCGGGGCTGGGCTGGGGCTCGCCCCGCTGGCACAGGGAGCGGGCCAGCCCGAAGTCACACAGCTTCACACAGCACTGGGCATCCAGCAGCACGTTGGAAGGCTGCATGGGACACAGCACAATTCATGAGCCCCTTTCTGAATAGCAGATTATCAAGGTTTTTTTACTAGTCTCATACTTGTACATTCTTTCATGCATTTCCTACAGAGACAGGCTGAGACAGCTGGGGCTAAGGGGAGAAAAGGCTCCAGGGGAGGTCTTAGAGCCCCTTCAAGTGCCTAAAGGGGTGCCAAGAGAGCTTGAGAGGGACTTTGAAAACAGCCTGGACAGCACAAGGGGAAATGGCTCCCCAGTGGCACAGGGCAGGGTTAGATGGGATATTGGGAACTGGCACAGGGCAGAGTTAGATGGGATATTGGAAAGGAATTCTGCCCTGTGAGACAGGTGAGGCCCTGGCACAGGGTGCCCAAGGAAGCTGTGGCTGCCCCATCCCTGGCAGTGTCCAAGGCTGGACAGGGCTTGGAGCCACCTGGGATGGTGGAAGGTGGCCCTGTCAATGGCAGGGGGTGGGAATGGATGGGCTTTGAAGGTCCCTCCCATCCCAAATCAGTCTGTGATTTTATTTAGTGTTCAACAGAAAACTGGAGTGAAGGACACAGACCATGACTGAAATGTACCTTCTGATCCCTGTGAATAACATTCCCTGAGTGGATGAATTTAGTTGCCTTCAGAAGTTGGTAGAGAATATAACATTTGTGGATGTCTTTCAGGACATTCCCCTTCTTAATCACAGCATGTAAATCAGTCTCTGTAATACACCAGTAATATAATGACATCAGTAAATATCAGTAGTATCATGAGCATTCACTATCAAAGTGATAACAAAGAAAACTCCTAAGAGAGATGGGTCTGAGTGGCTGCTGCAGTGTTGAGTCTCACCCATGGACTCGAAGATGAGGTAGATGTCCTTGTCATTCTCTGCTGGGATAACATCGAGCAGCTTGATGATATTTGGATGTTCTCCAAATTCCTGCACAGGGAAGAGACCCAGCTGTCAAAATCATGTGTTTTGCTTGTGAATCATAAAAAGGGACAATAACCTATTTCAGTTTGCATTACTGTCTAGATCAAACATTAACATGCTTTTTCCTCCATTAGGTTTCTTCTGAAATAAACTTTAAAAAAGGATTTAAGTTTGTTCCATAGTACGAAACCAGTCAGTTAATTTAAAAAAAAAAAATCTCTGTTGAATGAGACATTAGCTCTAACACTCCCTCTATACCATTTATAATAAAATACAATCCTCTTTATACACCTCACATTTCCTACTGAACCAAAGAATTATTGTGGCATGAAAATAGATCATAGCTGTCATCAACATTCATAGTTAAAACCCCAAACAATCAGAACACATCGATTTGAGGGCTGGCTCACTCACAGGCTGCACTGAGGAACTGACTGCATGGAGATCAGACAGCACACAGAGATACCTGAACACAGGTACCACACTGCAGGTGGAGGCCATCCTCACATTTCTGCAGACTGACACTGACATTTCCCATGACTGACATTTGACAGACTGACATTTCCCATGACTGACATCATAGGATCATTAAGTACCTCCCCAGCTTTAACAGCTTTTATTTCCCACTTCTGTGTAGCCAGGGACACCGTAAACACTTCATAACACTGTGACATTTTATAATGTGTAACATCCAGGAAAGCTCCCAAAACAACACACTCACCTGCAGCAACCTGTGAAAACACACTCACAAGGCAGTGAGACACAGCCAGCCCATCACACACTTTGCTTTCATTCTGAGCATAGCCACAAAACCCATCCACAGGATCTAAAGAAGATTTTCACCCAAAAGGGGGTATTGTTCTAGAGATGCAGCTAAATCTGCACTTGAGTGCTATTTAAGAAGGAAAATTCCACTGTCTCACACCGCCTTGCCCTGGAACTGATAATAGAAAGTCATGACAAAACTTCAATCTGTACTAAAAAAACATGAAAAAAGCCTTGTCAAGGCCACTTCTATTAATCCTTGCTTGAAGAATAATAATGCTACTAACACACTTACCAAAATGACATTCTAAAATTGGCCTAAAATACACCCGTAGATCTACAACTACACTGAACAGTAAACACAAAACCTGCAAGCATGACCAGAGCATCACAGAATCATTCACACCCCAGATTCTACAGCAACTTCTCAATTAGAATAATTGAGATACACAACATAAAACAATGACCTAGTCCATCAAATGACCTTGTGATCAACATCAAGACTGAACAAAACAATTATTATGCACAGACAAACAAATTAAGACAAACATGCAGTTATGAATAATGGAGTATTTTTCATATCTTTTCTTTTCTGACCCCTCAGTCTTGAGCCTCAAGAAAGAGGTTTAAAATAGGAGAGGAAACTAAAATTCTTAAAGTCTATTGAGCACCAGAAGTTATGGAAGTATGGGCTGAGCAGCACATTAACTTCCCTCTGCCTGCCCTCCGCTGCCAAGTGACTCCTCCTTTCCTTCAGAAGAAATATCCTGTTTTCTCCTGCTCCTACTCCATCCATCCATTCCAGGAGTGCTGCACCTTCAGAGATGATCAAACTTCTACGGTAGTTCATTTCTAAGGAACTGTTTCTATTTTTAGCTTTAAAGTTTGCAGCTTCTATTTCAGGCTTTAAGAATGACTAAAAAGTTAAAAAAAAAAAATCATCTCTTTCCTACTTAAACTTGGCAGTCTTAGGAAATACCTCTTCTATGAGCCCTGCCTCACTTGTGTCTTTAGAAAATCACAAGTTATAACAACATTAGTCCAAAATATTGATGTTTCTATGGTAAGTCTAAGGAGGAGTGGACAGATAACTGGAATACCACTGATAAGGTCAATTATATCAAACAAGCGTAGTCTTAAGTTATTCCTTGCAGAACTTCCCTTTTTCTTTTGGTTAGATTATTTTAAGTAATTAAATTGCTTACTGCATGATGGAGGAAAACAATTTTGGAGTGTAAATCCCTCTCTTACCCCAGCCATCCTCCAATCATGGCAGCTAAAATGTAAGAGAAAACAGTTTCTATCACAAAGCAGCAATAAATGACAGAAGGTGCTGATGTGCTCTGACAGAAGGTGCTGATGTGCTCTGCAGCAGACACAGTACTAAAAATGGGGAAAGAGTAAAAACAAGCCCAAATGGAGAGTGTTTCATTAAGGTGAAAGGCTCTTTGCCAAGATGGTGCAGAAAAGAAATTAAAGACTTATCAACACTAATCCATGACTGCTGCATTTTGGAAAAGAGTGGGAAGAAAATACATCAGAGATGATAAAAAAATCAGAGAAGAGGGGGAACATGGACATTACCTGCAGGAACATAATCTCTCGAAATGTTCTCTAGAAATAAAGAAAAAACAATTTATTATCACCTCAAGAGAACAGCAGAACAGAGATGTAGTTCAATGACAGGGTTAAATCCACTCCTCTTTTATACATGCTCTTTTATACATCCTCTTTATACAAAAAACTTGATATTTATTGCTTGTTTTTATCCCAATATAGCTGCAGACTATATTGTTATGTGCATAATTATCATCTTTCAGAGACAAAAGTCCTGAAAATACCTATGGAATCCCACCACATCTCAGAACACAGGACAGTAATTTCTCACCTGAGCATCTGTTCTGTTCCTGAAAGCATCAAAAATCTTTTTAACAGCAACTGTTTCTCCTGTCTGGCGGTCGGTCGCTCTCCAGACGATGCCGTAGGCCTGTGGAGAAGCAGGACAGGTGAGCAGAGTGCTGACACCTGCACGCAGCCCGGGCCTGCAGTGGAACCAGCAGGTGCTCAGTGATGGGCTGGAGCAGAGGTGATGGGAGCCACATGGAAGACAGAGAGATTAGGCCAAGGAGACAGACTCAGGAGACACACTGAGGGGTTTGGGGTTGTTCAGCCTTGAGAAGAGAGGCTGCAGGGAGACTTTACAGCTCCCTCCAGCACCTGAAAGGGCTCCCAGAGAGCTCAGGAGGGACTTTGGACAAGGGCCTGGAGGGACAACACAACTTGGAATGGCTTCCCACTGCCAGAGGGCAGGGTTTAGATGGGATTTGGGAACAAATCCTTCCCTGTGACAGTGGTGAGGCCCTGGCACCAATTGCCACAAGAAGCTGTGGCTGCCCCATTGCTGGAAGTGTCCAAGGCCAGGCTGGATGGAGCTTGGAGCAACCTGGGACAGCGGAAGGTGTCCCTGCCCATGGCAGCGGGGTGGAATGAGCAGACTTTAAAGTCCCTTCTAACCCAGAATGTTCTGTGGTTCCAGGACTCTGTATGGAGAGCAGCCCTGAGAAGAACTTGGGGGTGCTGGTGGATGAAAACCTGGCAATGAGCTGACAACATGCACTAGCAGCCCAGACTGCCAGCCATGTCCTGGGATGCACCAAAAGGAGGACAGCCAGGATTCCACAAACCAGGGGACTGGGCCCAGCTGGTGCAAGGCACATTCTGCTGACCAGGCTGATCTCACCTGGAAGGGCTGCATTGATGGGATGGAATGGGATAATGGAATGGGATGGGATGGATAGGCCGAGACTAGTGCTGCCAGGTCAGCAGGGCCAGGGTCTTGCTCTTGGGTCACAACAACCCCATGAAACATGCCAGGCTTGGGACAGAGTGGCTGGGAAGCTGGAAAGGCCCTGGTGGTGCTGGTGACAGTGGCTGAACATGAGCCCAGGTGTGTGCAGGTGGCAATGGCACCTGGCTGTACCAGTCGTGGTGTGGCTGCAGGTCAAGGGAGATCATTCTTCCCCACATTTGAATTTGGTGAGATTCCCAGCTGGAGCACTGCATCCAGCCTGGAGCTGCTCAGTGCAAGAAGGACACGGAGCAGTTTGAGCAGCTGCAGAGAAGGGCCACGGAGATGCTCCGAGGGCTGGAGGCCCTCTGCTATGCAGCCAGGCTGGGACACCTGGGTGTTCAGTCTGGAGAAGAGAAGGTTCCAAGGACAACTCACTGTGCTCTTTCAGAACTGAAAGGGGGGTGGTAAGAAGGATGGAGAGAGACTTTTTGCCAAAGTCTGTAGTGACAGCATCCCAGAATTGCTGAGGTTGAAAAAGCCCTCCAAAGCCACTGGGTCCAGCCACTAACACAGCACTATCAGGTCCAACACTAAACCTTTTTTTTCAGTTAAAAGCTGTGTTGTCTGTTAAGGGAACGGGAACTTCTACTTGAGTTTCCCCTATTCTGCATGACTGTGATACTTGCAAATGATGATTACTCAGTGTCACTTGTGGTACAGATCCAGTTTTTTTTTATTTTAGGCCATAGATTTGAAACTGGACTTTCCACAGCCTAGGAGCTGCTTCACCTTTGCACAAAGGGATCGCATCCTGCTCAGAAATGCCCACTTGTTTAGATACTTGTACAAAGCAAAAGAGCTGCAATGTATGATTCTAGTGATTAAACACTCACGTAAGGACATCAAGACAGATTTCCCAGTAACACGTGTGGATCTGCAGCATGGCACCAGAACCCAACCCATGCATCAGGCAGTACAAACAGTTGTACAAGTGCCTCAGTAGGTGCTACAGTACTACCCTGCTGGCAACTGGGAAAGAGCCTCGAGTTGTGCCAGGGGAGGGTTAGGCTGGATATTGGAAAAAACTCTTCTGCAAAGGGCTGTGCAGCCCTGGCACAGACTGCCTCAGGGCAGGGGGGAGTCCCCATCCCTGGGGGGATTTAACAGCCACCTGGATGTGCACTAGGGGACAGGGTCAGTGCTGGGGGAGCGGCTGGACTCCACAGGCTCAGAGGGCTTTTCCACCTCAGTGACTCCTTGATTCTGTGAACATAATGAGGGAAATACTTAAATACTCATATCAACACAACTAAATGATAGCAAAGAGCTGCCAGAATAATAAAGCAGATAACTTGGGGGAGTTTAGAGACTGTCTGAGGAGAAATATCTTAAAAATTACCATTGGGTTACATATAAAAATTCGTTTTATGGAGAAGATATTATTTGATGCAGCATGATCTGAAGTGATGGGTTTACAGTAAATGTAGAAGGATTTGGCAGGCACAGAGAGAATGTATTTCGGGACTAAGATCTATTTCACTATTTACTTTTGTGAGAAGTGCATATTATATGGCTCTACGCAGATATTTACTATACACATTTAAGTTGTATTGAGTAGTGCTGTATTAACATTTTAATACTATGGTAAATGTAGTTTCATAGCAAAAAGGGTAGCTTTTGTTTGAGTTAAAATAGGAACTATGTATGTGGAATGTTTTCTTTTAGAAAGGAATGAGGGGCCCTCACCGGATGGCTGCTGCAGGACACCTAAATCTTTCAGAGAAAGGGAGTTTATTGCTCCCTTATCAGCAGAAAACTAACTTCTTCCCACCTCGCTCAGACAGGAAGACGGCATGAGGATTAAGAGGAAGAAGTTGACAGTGACCAGACCGAATCCTGTGTTTGGATGGAATTTATGCATCATGTATGGAATGTATGAATATGCAACAGGCGATTGTTTTTAAGGGTTAATCCTCTGTTAACTGGGGTCCTTTTTCGGGCTCGTGATGCCCAGGAAAAGGTACCCGGACGTCGGTATCTCTTTGTTTTTATTGTCTCATATTGTCCTAACCTCAATTGTTCAAACTTTATTATTCTGATTATATTACTACTATTAAACTTTTAAAATTTCAAAAACAAGTGATTGGCGTTTTTCACACTTTTTACAGTCCCCGGAGTTCCCCTGGGTCACCTCGAGCTTCCAGCGGGCCCTGAGCGACAGAATTCCCACGGGCGCCTGAACTCCCAAACATCCCCTCAGCTCCCCCGGGCCGCCTGGAGCCCTCAGGGTGCCCTGAACTCCACACGGGCCCTCCGAGCTGCCGCGACCACCGCAGCTCGCCCAGGCCATCCTAGCTCCCCCAGACCAGCCCCCGCCAGGCACTCACCCCCTTGCCCAGACGCCTTTTGATCTCGTACTTGCGGCCCACGAGCGGCTCCACCTCGGGCGGGCTCATGGCGGCACCTCCCTGTTGGCGCCCGCTGCTATGGCAACGGTCCCGCGCACCGCGCATGCGCGCACCGCGGCGGCGCCCGCCAGGGGACGCCGTGAGAGTGGGCGCTGAGGGAGGAGAGGAAGGGAAGGGAGAGAGAGAGGAGAGGGCCGGAGAAATGAGCCCCTTGCAGGGCTCCGGGACAGCCGGAGAGCGGCTTGGGCACGGGCCTGGAGGGACAGCGCAAGGGGAACGGCTTCCCACTGCCAGAGGGCAGGGCTGGATGGGATATTGGGAAGGAATTGTTCCCTGTGAGCGTGGCCAGGCCCTGGCACAGGTGCCCAGAGCAGCTGGGCTGCCCCTGGGTCCCTGGAAGTGCACAAGGCCAGGCTGGATGGGGCTTGGAGCAACCTGGGACAGTGGGAAGTGTCCCTCCATGGCAGGTTGATGGAACTGGACGAGTTTTAAGGTCCGTTCCAAGGTAAACCATTCTGAGAATAAATGATACTCTTTGGGGTTTTTTTTCCCCCAATTTTGATCCTTCCTCCCTACCCCCACCCAATTCCAACTTTTCTGATGAGGCTAAAGTTTATTTAATTACTCTTTTCAGTGAGAGCGAACACTTTTGTCATGTTCTTTAGAGCTTTGCTTTTTTCCCTTGTTTTATAGCAGGTAGAGAAGATTTCTGATTCATGTCCAAATTAGATGGTTGAAATCAAAATCCCCAAGCCAAATGCACTCACTAGATACTATGCTGTGACTTTTTAAAAATGAGGATGTATGAACATGGATTTCATGCAATGGATTTGTATGACTGTAAATGTTTCTTTGAGATACAACTTCAGTTTTGTTAGTGAACTGGCATGCAGGGATTTGGATCACTGATATATGCTTCCATCACTGACTTCATTTTGTGCGCAGGTTTCTTTTATATAATAACAAATTCTGACTTACAAAGAGGCTTATTCCTTTCAGCCCATGATTTTTAAGAAATTTCATTCAGTTTAGTTTTAAATGTTCATTTAGGATTCCTGAAGGGACTCACTAATTCCTTTAGGCTGAATTGTTTCTGTCTACTGGGATACATTTATCTGCCTTATCCTGCTCATAGGGACATAAAGCTGTGTGTGTGCACTTAGCAGCAGACTCCAAAGTTCAGGTCTGAGTTGTGACAATTCTGGACTAGATTGTGGACAATTGTGACTTAGTTGTGCTGTCCTGTGGATGGTGGTGATGAGAAGAATCCTTGTATTGTATGAGCTTCTGCTCAACCTCCTAATTCTGTGTTAACTTGATGTTTAGATTTTATTTTGAGAAGAAACTTTAACTTATTGTAGTGAAAATTTCTGGATTGTTAAAGATGATGAATTTTAAAGCAGGATTTGTGTGGTGTTTTTTCTGATATTTTTCTTCTGGGTAAGCTTTTAAACAGTCCAGAAAATATTTCTGTATTTGAATGTACTGATCTCAGTAAGAATAGTAAGAACAATACAATCTAATGTTTTCACACCTGTTGGCTGTTTAATAAACAGCCAAAGGGGCTGTCTCCATTGTGGAGAGGGAGTGGATGCTGATTTACACTTCCTTTACCTTTTCTTCATGCACTTTACATTGTTTGAGTCTTGTCTGTTGAATAATACACACAGCTGCACGAAAATATTAAATGAGTAATTATCAGACATTTATGCTGAAAGCTTTTCCCTGAGAATCTGAGTGTTTCTGTCTTCTCCAAATGCTCCAGCTCCTTCTGATTGCATATTACATTTGCAGACTCCAGATGATAACTCTGTTCTGCATTAGTAATTCCCAAAACTCACACAGATTTAGCTGGCAATCGACAAAAGCATCTTCTCAAAAATAGAAAACTGTTCAAGTCTGTGCTTCCCTGTTTGAGTGAAACAGCAGCTACTCAAATAACAGCATTTAATTAATTTAAAATTTAATTTTAATTTTTTAAGTTAATTTTTAATCTACTGACTGAATTAGGCCACGCCCCCAAGTAGGCCACGCCCCCGAGGGGCCCCCGCCCCCAGCAGGCCACACCTCCAAGATGTCGTCGGCGGAGCCGGGGAGGTTTTTCTGCACGGCGGGACGCGGGCTGGAGCCCTTCCTGGCGCGGGAGGTGCGGGCTCGGCTCGGCGCCACCGAGGTGAGCGGGGAGCCGGGGCCAGTGACCGCCCGGGCGGTCCTGTCCAGGTGAGCGGGGAGTGGCAGCCAGTGACCGCCCGGGCGGTCCGGTCCGGGTGAGCGGGAGCCAGTGACCGCCCGGGCGGTCCGGTCCGGGTGAGCGGGAGCCAGTGACCGCCCGGGCGGCCCTGTCCAGGTGAGCGGGAGCCAGTGACCAGTCCCGTCCGGGTGAGCGGGGAGCGGCAGCCAGTGACCGCCCGGGCGGTCCGGTCCGGGTGAGCGGGAGCCAGTGACCAGTCCGGTCCGGGTGAGCGGGGAGCTCCGCGCCCGCAGCCCGGCGAGCACGGCCCGGGCTGTGCCGCCCCGGCGCGTGGCTGGCCGGGGTCGGAGGGGCTCGCCCTCAGGGAGCCGGAGCTGCGCTGCCGCGGGGCTGCGGGAGGGGCTCACCCGGAGCCGCCCGGCCGGGTCCGACGGGTGTTCTCCCCGCAGGTGGACTGCGTCTCGGGAAAAGTGTTCTTCAGGGCGGCGGCGGGACCTGGGGAGCTGCGGCAGCTGCGCTCGGGGGAGCGCCTGTTCCTGCTGCTGAAGAAGCACAGTCCGCTGCCGGTGTCCGGGAACAGAGGTACGGACACGGGAAGCCTTGGTTTGCGTCCTGGTTATAACATTTGAAGCGTTTAGTTTTATACTGGTGGCTGTAGTTCTAATTGACAGTAATCCATCCTGAAGTGTCTTTCACCCACGTGCGTTTTCAACATTTTTTTGATCTGAAAAGGGCTTTTAAATTGTTTTCCATAGCTACCTTGCAGCCTGTATTGTGCTGGCACTGAGTGTATATCTGTATTTTAAAGACCCTTTCCCCTGCCCAGCCCCAAAAAAGAGAATAATAACCCACCTGAAAACCAAAGTTCAGTCCTGGATCTCTTGTGTTTATTTTAACAAGTCTTATTTTCTGTTAAACGAAGTGAATCCCAACCTATATATTGTGACAATTTACTCCTAAGTATGCACCGTCCTTCTAAGTCTCAACTGCTTGGATCATGTTCTCTGTCAGTGTTGGAGTGAGAATTTCAAGGTAGATGGATTGATATCTGCCTGCTGCTGGATTTTTATTTGGGAGATTACCTTCAGCTTTGAGGATGAAACTTGATCATGATTCTAAGATTTTAAGTGATAACTAGAAAGACCTTTATGTTTTTTCCTTGACCAGCTTTCATGTATTTAAGTGAATTGGCCTCTCTGTTCCTCATGCCTCTCTTGTGGCTAGCTTGGGACTGCCCACACATGTAGGTGTGTGTTGCAGGATTGAAGGCACAGTGATGAATGGGAAGCAGAAATTTTCTTTCTGAAAGAATAAACTTGGTTTTGCCTGAGATGACTCAAAGTAATTCATGTTTGTCTTTCAATTCTGGAGAGTGTTCTGCATCGCTTAAACCTGGGTCAAGTGCTTTCTGGGGAGGGTGGCATGGTAGGCTGGTGCTCTGTCCCTGGGAATGACACTCACAGGTCCTCTGGTTTTCTACAGCTGCTGACTTCTTGTGCAGAATTCAACCCTTGCGTGATTTAGTCTTGGTTGTGCAGTGCTGGTAATCAGAGGGGTGCCTCTGTGGTTCCTGGTGGGTGCTGAGTGCTCAGCTGTGCCTGTGACTCTGGACTCACACATGAAAGAAATCTGAACACAGCTGCTGTGAACAGCTGTGCTCAGTCCCTAGGGAAGTGGAATGCCGAGGATGAGGTACTTAACCCAAAACTGTTTTTTTCTTCTAGGGAAAATGCTTCATGAGATTAAAAGCCTTGTCATTGAGGACCCGAAATACTGGCTGGATATTATCTCTGTTTGGAGAAAGCTTCATGGACACAAGGGGAAAACACATTATGGCTCTGAAGAAAATGCATTGTCTCTGAAGAGAAGGACAGAAGAAGAGACAAATACTGCAAGTAAAAGGCAGAAAACAGAGCACGTGAAGGCAATTGTGTCTGAGAAGTGTCAGGTGGGAGCTGGGGAGACCTGTGAGGCACCAGACACAATGAGCAGGCAGGAGTGCTGGACTGAGAGCAGGACTTCCTCAGAATTGCCTTCCAGAGGCAGTGGAGAGGATCCTGCTGCCAGTGAGGAGCTTTGCTTCAGCTTCAGGGTGTCATGTCGCTGCAGTGGAGCGATTGCCAGAATACTGACTTCACAGGTATGCTGAGGTACCTACTTCAAAAGAATTCAGCAAGGGTGAACAGAGATGTGTAGTTTGTTAGTCATTTCAGTTGTGTTGTGTCTTCTGGAATAATAAACTGATGTAAGCTTTTTCTGTATTTTCTCAAAAAGCCCTTAACCTGCATTCACCTTAAACAAGTGGAAATTCAAATGCTGTTTTTGATTTCTGTGCACTATTACCCTTCATGTTTTTCAAATCAATACCTTTTGTTGAGGATAAGCAAAGGTAAGACTTTGAGGTTCTGGGCCTGTGGAGGCTGAGAAGGGATTGGATAATTTAGAGCTACTTGAAGGGCCATTGCAAGGACCGTGGGGCCTTACTCCTCTCAGTTGTGGCAGGCTGGATGAAGGGGTAAAAGCCAGAACTCACAGTTTCAGTTGCCTCTGACTAGGTATTGTAGAGAATTTGTTCTTCAGAAATACAGCCCTGGGAGTCTTGGTCCTTAGGAAAGAATAGTGGCATGCAGTCCTCTGGGGTCTGTTCTATTCAGCCCTCTTCCCATCTGGGCGGGTTACTCTTACTGGAAGGTGTCAGTAGTTTAGGTTTTTTTTCTACTAAAGCTAGCACCTTGGTGAGGTGAGTACACATGAGCTTCCCTGTGAGGGTGTTTGCCTAAATTTGTGCTATGTTTGAACCTATACTCTAAAGGTAATCAGAGCTTTCTATATATAATGAAGCGTTAATATTGTGAGTTGTAGTTGTGCATTTGCAGGTTTTCTGTTGGGTAATCTGCCTTAGAGCCATTGAAAGTATTTTGTGCATATGATTAAGAATTCCAGAACGGTGGCAGTCACAGAATATTCTGAGTTGGAAGGGATCCACAAGGATCAAGTCCAGCTCAAGTGAATGTTTTATTGTCACTTGATCAGATCTGGAACTTCAGCCTCTCCTCTTGCTGCAGCTGAGTGTTGGTTGTTTGCCTTGTGCTATGTTTGCTTTGCCTCTCACTCACTTGCTCTGCCCTGTTGCACCTCTTCTGCTGTGAGTTGTGTGAATTACTCTCTTAGGCATAGACTCTTCCCTGGGATTTCTGAGGGTTGTGAATCCAAGGCTGTGCTCTGCAGTTTCCCCAGTTCTATGTTTTTCTGTGCCTGTGACTGTTCTCCCCCTCCTAGGAGGTCGGAAGAGCCATTGGCACGGCGCTGGTGAAGCAGTGCAGGTGGCGTACTGATCTGCGGGACCCTGACCTGGAGGTAGGCTGCTTGTGTGCCTGTGGATGCTTCCAGACTCACCCGGACACCTTTGGTTTTGTTCTCTGCTCCCTTTGCACATGGGACCACGGCCTGTCCCTGCTGGTCTTCCTGCTGCTGAATTTACCTGAAAATCAGCATGTGTGTGGCCCTGGTGTGTGTGTGTGTGCCTTCCAGAACTCTGGCATGAACCCCAGCCTGGCTGGGTCTGCCTGCATGGGAGGAGAAGGATCCCCAGAGGAGGAGTTTCAGGATCCAGCACCCTCACAGACTGCTGGACTCTGACTGTGAAAATGGAATTCACCTAAGCCGTGGGTGTCTGTGGCCTCTGGAGGGGAAGGGAGCAGGCATCATAGGCTGTTCTCAAGGAGCTGGACTTGAGAATATCACATACAAGGCCCGGGGGCTGTTCCTCCACAAATAGCAAACTGCTCCCTTTGTGCACCCTTGCTGGTGCAGCTGCCCGGAGACCTTCCAGAGGATTCCTTGCTCCTGACAAGGAGTGTTTCTTCAGGGATGTTTGTCCATCCCTGCCCTTGGCTTGTGGAAGCTGCTCTCAGCTCTGATGCTGAGAGATTCCAGACCTGCAGAAACTCTGGAGGTTGTTTCCTGGCGCTGGTGCCCGCACTGTGTACTATGTACAGCTTTGGTGAGGCTCACCTGCACCTCCTCTTCTTGCCCAGATTTTGCTCTGAAGCTGCTCAAGTGCTGAGGACTGGGATTTTCCAGCAGTGTTGTGTTTCCCTTTGTGCTTCCTGTGTGCAGGGATTGCAGTCATGCAAGACCTGCTGGGGAGCTCAGTCTTCTTTTGGGATGTTCTCTACAGGACAATTTCTTGTTGTTTGTTTTGGGTTTTTTGTTTGGTGGGGTTTGGTTTGGGTTTTTTTGTTTGGGGTTTTTTGTTTAGTTGGTGTTTTTAAAATGTTTATTATTTTGTTGCTAGTATGCAGTGAATAATATTCTCCCACTTGTAGTAAATGGATTTATAACTAAAAATTCCTATGCTGTGTTAAGGAAAAATAGGCCCCCTTATAAATTCAAGTGCTTGCTGATGGATTCCTGGCTGACAAAATCCCCCTCAGCTTGATTAAGCATTAAATAATCTGTAAAGTGGCATTCAGATAATCTAGTGGGATTTCTTCCAATTAATTGTTGTTGTTTGTAGTATGGATTTTTGTTCTTAAAAACTGAAATCAGAAGTTTGTAGAAGCATCTGTGTCTGGTTTAAATGAGTTAAAGCTATTGTTGTGTCAGTTTGAGACTTTAAAATGTTGGGGTTGTTTTTTTTTCTTCTAGATCTTTGTACATCTTAATGACATTCACTCTGTGGTGGGGATTCCTCTTTTCAGGTAAGTGTTCTCCCCACTAGATTTATTGTGGCAATATCAGAACACACAGGATTTGTAAATCTTGCTATCCACCATGAGTATTTATCTTTTGGTTTGATAATGACTCTTGTTAAATTAGTCTTGTGATCTGCCTGCGTTTTAAATGAACACACAGACCAGATTTTGCAGTGAGTTATGGTTAAAAGCAGAGTTCTCTGTCTCTCAGGAGATCTGTCTATTTCATTTGTTCTTTGACATTACATGGGCTTGTCTGGGTGGTTCTGCTGCTGTTTTAGTTAACTTTTTTGGTTCTTTGCTGTCTGCAGGCTTCCATTGGCAAACAGAGAGTATATCAGAACAGCAGGACTGCGGTCAACAGTGGCATGGGCCATGGCATCTCTGGCTGAAATCAGGGTCAGTGAATGTTCCTTGTGAAGAAATGGGTCCTGAACGAAGGGAATGGGGTGCTGCTCATGGGGTCTGGGGCTGGGAAGGAGTGGGGTGATTTCAGTGCCCCATTCCCTGGGAAGGAGTTAGGTGATTTCAATGCTCCATTTACTGGGGAGGAGTGGGGTGATTTCAGTGCCCCATTCCCTAGTGCCTGTGGCCAGGGTCTGCCCTGCCTGTGATGAGTGTGCTGTCACCTGGAGTTCAGCCAGGTGTCTGCTGTAACTCCAGGTGCTTCTCAACAGAGCTGGTAATCCTTGTACATATACATGTCTAAGTGGCAAGATTTTTTCTGCTGTTCTGCAACAGTGAAAAAATGAAATGTTATTTGCTGTTGTTTTCCAAGGAAATGTGGTATCTTTTCACATTGGTACCAACATATGTCTGCAGTCCACTTGTAATATTTCCTCCTGAATGTGTCCTCCTCCTCAAGCTCCCCAATAGCTTCACACTGTCTGCAGTGAAGCTGTTGGTGCTTTTCACTATATTCTCTTACAGGCGAGTTTGGCCAGGGATTACCAGAGATTCTTGTTAACCTGTGCTGGGTTCAGTGGGATTGTGCACATCCCTGTGTGAGCTCTGTCCTGGGTAAGGAGTTTGGCATGCTGGGGATGCAGTAACCCCTCTGTTTTTGTAGGCTGGTGCTCTTGTGCTGGATCCCATGTGTGGGCTAGGAACCATCCTGCTGGAGGCTGCCAAGGAGTGGCCTGTGAGTATCCCAGTGCCAGCTGCTGGACCCCTGCAGGGAAACTGGTACTTGTGGGACAGGGTTTTCTCTCTGCCATTTAGGCAAAAGCCCATTGCTGCCTGGAAAGGTGAAACCGAACCAATCTTTCTGGGCAGCTGCTAGAAGTGTTTCAGTACAAAGGTTCCCCAGATGAATGTGTCCTGCAGGCTGGTGCAGCTGGTGATTCCCACTGCAGGCTTTGTGTGAGGCAGCCACGAGCTTGTGAAGCTTCCTGGGGTCGGAGGTGTCAGTGTCGTGGGACAGTTGTCAGCATTAGGGGCAGTGGGGCTGGCTGTACCTAGCTGGGGTTGTGCTGTTAGGACATGCTCTTGGTATTTCTGTCATTTCAAGTGTCTTGAGCAGACCAGAGCATTAAAAGAGTGGAGACAGCACATACTTCCTCCGTTACTCCACCCTCTGGATTGCGGATTGCTCTATGTAACAACAGCAGATGTCCCAGAAAGGGGGCTGTCTTGCAAGAGCTGTGCAACAAGGCAGTTCAAGAAGGGTTAATGAAATAAAGAGCTAGAGTGTTCACAAAGTTACTTTTCTCTCTCTCTCTGGACAGGAAGCTTGTTACTGGGGTGCTGATATAAGTGACTCACAGTTAGAGGGTGCAGATGGCAATATCAGAACTGCAGGCTTAGTGGATAAGATTGAGCTGCTGAAAGCTTCTGTGAAAGGTATGTCTGTGGGATTTCCAGGTGGATATTTTGTGTTTCTGGGATTGTACAGGTAGGTTCCCCTGAGGTGATATGTTGCAGAGCTAACTCCCAACAAATAGCTGGGTTGTGGCTCTGGTGCTAGTGCTAGTGAAGGAATAATTATGAAGGGAGGTACTTCCTCCCTGCTGCCTGCACCTGGAACTTTGGTAAGAATGAAGTCAGCAGAAGACAATAAAAATTACAATTGTCTGCCATGGACAGTAATTGTCTCTCTTCATGGTAAATGTGTGATTCACCACCACAATACCATAAAGAGTATGTACCATGTGAGTTTTTTTTGTATCTTAGTGGAACACAGCCAGGACAAATCCAAATGAAATGCAGCCTGTAAGTTAAATTTACCAGGTGAGTATTGGTGAGGACACATTAAGCTGAGCTGCATTGTTCATGTTTTGCAGTAGGAGTATTTTGAATTATGGTTCCTTTCTCCTGTAAAAGGAAGTCTATTTACTCTTGGTTTACAAGCAATTCTGTAGAGAAGGAAATAATTGTATGACCTTATTCTGGACCTCAGAGTCTGAGGCTAAATTATGCCTGTGTGAAATCCATGACAGGCAAGCTGGCTGAGTTTCCCTGTGCATGAGTGATGAAGTTTGCATATTTTTTTTTTTTTTACCTTGCAGTATTTATTTCTTACTGGAATGGTAAGAAACATTATTGATTTTTTTAATAAAAATGTAGGTTTATTTCTCGCTTAAAAGCTGTGTTTGACTTTGGTTTCTAGGATAATGGATGGTACTTAGCTGTCAGGTTTTCTAAACTGAGCAAGTTGGTGTCTCCATCACTGGTCAGAAGCTGTAACTTCTGCATGTCTTGAGAAGGGCTGTAGGTGGCATGTCCTTTCATTTGCAGATAAAATTAATACCCAGTTGTTGTGCTGCAAGTGTTGACCCAAGAATGGTCCAGGAAATATCTCCAGCTAGTTGTAGAAAAGTTGGCATAGAATCTCAGCAGAGTTTAGGTGAGGAGGGACTGTTGGAAGTCTTTAGTCCTGCTGTCTACTCAAGGCCGTGTCAAGCGAGTTTGGAGCACCCTGAGGGATGGAGGACCCCAGGGTCTGTGCAGGGCCCAGGCCTGCTGGCCTGCACAGCCTGGCACGGGATGGAGGGACCTCCAGAAGGGACCTCCAGGGTCTCAGGAGGGATCTCAGCCTGGCTGCACAGCCTGGCACGGGATGGAGGGACCTCCAGAGTCTCAGGAGGGATCCCAGCCTGGCTGCGCAGCCTGGCACGGGATGGAGGGACCTCCAGAAGGGACCTCCAGAGTCTCAGGAGGGATCCCAGCCTGGCTGCGCAGCCTGGCACGGGATGGAGGGACCTCCAGGGTCTCAGGAGGGATCCCAGCCTGGCTGCACAGCCTGGCAAGGGATGGAGGGACCTCCAGGGTCTCAGGAAGGGTCTCAGCTGGCCTGCACAGCCTGGCACGGGATGGAGGACCTCCAGGGTCTCAGGAAGGGTCTCAGCTGGCCTGCACAGCCTGGCACGTGGCCAGCCTTCATCACCACAGGTGCAGTGCTGCATCTTCCTTAGGGGAGCTGACCTCAGCTGGGATGCAGAAGCTCTGAGGTGACCCTTCAGAGGCATGAGCTCTGACAGGATCCAAGTGATTCTGGCTGTAACCAGATTCCTTGAGGGAAGAAAAGGGGCATGGAGAGGAACTGGAGGTAGCTCCTTGCCATACATACATGTGCACTTGAACATTTGCACTGAGTAAAGTGCTCACAAATGTAGCTCTTTTGTGTTTTGCTCAACGATTTTCATGTTTAAGATGTACTGGGTGTTGAGAGGCAGCAGTTAATCTGGGACTGTGTAGTGCCCTAGGAGAGTCTTGCTGCAGGGGCAGACATCCTCAGGAGTGGAGACTCTGCAGACTGAACAGTGCTGCCACGCATTTGTCTCCTCCCAGTCTGCAGAGGGTGGTGTCTCCACGGTGGAGTTCATGAAGGCAAGTGCAGAAGGAGCTGTGGATCTGCATAATCCAAAATGTGGATTATGTGCATGTGCATAGCCCAAAAAGAGCTGGCAGGCAGTGTTGAAGGGGGAACAGGGGCAGAGCTGCTGTGCATTTTTCACACAGTCAGAGATGAGTAAAGACCTGCCTTTATTCTGCAGCACTGCCGTTGCCTTCAGAAAGCTTTGATAGTGTTATTTCGGATATTCCGTTTGGGAAGAAGTTCAAGACCACAAGTGATTCCCAGCTCCTACCAGATCTTCTCCAGGAAATGGAGAGGTACGTGTGGCCTTTGGCACCCTCATGGGTTTGATGGACGTGCCATAATGGTATGTGACCTCAGCATTCAGCCAGCTTCAGATCTGCTTTATTCCGTAGTCTCCAACTCTGTCGTGTGACCCTGTGCAGGCTGTGGAGGTCTCAGCCCATTACTTGTCCCTTGGAGGCTGTTACGTTGTGTTTCACCAGCTGTGAGCTGCCAAGGGAGGATCCGGTGTGGGCCGTGCTCTCAAACGCTCTTTGCAATTCACAATTGGGAAATGTTTCTGAGCCATACTCCAGTGTGGCAGAAAGGAGAAAGAGGAGAGGCCTAACTGGACAAAGTTAAAGCGTGGCCAGGCTAATAAAGCTATAATCCTTTTCTAGTTGAGGCCTGCTCGTATAAATTAAGTCTTTCCTTTTTGAGGTCACAGCCAAGCTTTGACCAGCCTGTCTTGGCAGGAAGGATCTCAAGACCACGAGAAGGGACATGCATTGTCCTTGCTGTTCAGGAATGCCTCACTAGCAGCCTGGGCTGGTTTTTGGTGTGTCCTTTCATCTCTCACCGTGTCCTTTGGTGGCAGAGTTGGGCCAAGCTGATAGCTGGGCTGCTTCTAACAGACAGGTCAAGCCATCTTCCCCTCTACTTCTTGCCTGAAAAGAAGCCCTTTCTCTAGGACTGCTCTTCAGCAGATGTTGATTTTACTCAGCCAATGCAGGAATGTGGTGGGAAGGTGATGGAGAAGGTTGCATGGCTCCACAGAATGGTATGGCAATCTTGTTTTCTGGCCTTATTTGCTCTATTGGTCCATCCTAAGTAAAATATTCCCTGAAGAAGGGGCCATGAGAGCCTCACCAGTAAAGCTGTTCAAACTACTTACTGTAAACTGAGTCAGGATACTATTTCTTTTTCCCTTCTTTCAAAGCCACGTGTAATGTTTGGACACATACCTCGAAAAATTAATTGCAAACATTGATTAATTTTCTTCTGCTTCCTGAGTTTGAAAGCCATTCAGGATCAGTGGAACAGGACAAGTTCCAAAAGGCTGTTTTTTGAAGTTTCCGAAAGGAAGGGCCAGTTTCAGAATTACCATGCTAATCTGAGCAGCCCTTGCTGCACAGGCAGGCTGTTCCTTTGCAATCTCCAAAAACCCTGGGCTTAATGGTGCCCTTGATGCTTGAAAGAATGCTGAGTGCAGTAAAAAATTAGTTTCTCTTCCCTGCTAACCCAATAGAAATAACTACTAACATTCAGAAATGTTTTGGAGTCAGGACAGGGCCCTGTTCTCCTATTTAGAAAGAGGTAAGAAGACGGGGGATTTGAATTCCTCTTGGAGGTGCAGCTCACTGAGTTGAGCTGTGACACACTCAGGTGTTTCACTGAATGCAGGTGGCATCTGAAGTGTCAGCAGAGGCAAAGGGATGCCTGAAGGGATCAACATCTAACCTTTTTTTTTCCTGTGGTTGCCAGAGTGCTTCGTGTTGGAGGGACCCTGGTGTTGCTGCTGAGCCAGGAGCTCCGCAGACACGTGGATCGTTTGACCAGGTGTGCTGGAGGTGCCTTTGCTGATGGTGACAGTGGAGCAGCCCCTGCCCAAGCCATGGATGGTTTGCCCAGGTGTGCTGGAGGGGCCTTTGCTGATGGTGACAGGGGAGCAGCCCTTGCACAAGCCATGGATGGTTTGCCCAGGTGTGCTGGAGGGGCCTTTGCTGATGGTGACAGTGGAGCAGCCCCTGCACAAGCCATGGATGGTTTGACCAGGTGTGCTGGAGGTGACCCTGCTGAGGCCTGTGCTGATGGTGACAGTGGAGCAGCCCCTGCACAAGCCATGGATGGTTTGACCAGGTGTGCTGGAGGTGACCCTGCTGAGGCCTGTGCTGATGGTGACAGTGGAGCAGCCCCAAGTGTGGATGGGAATTCCTCCTTCTTGGCCCGGGGGGGTGGAAAACCTGTTCTCAGCAGACATTTCGGGTCTCTGCTGCCAGAGGGTGTCTATGCCGTTAGCCTGGGCAAGACTGATGCTTTCATACACAAATACAGGAAGGTGTCTGCTCCTGGGAGCAGCAGAACTGGGACTGAGAGCTGTCCCAGTACTGGTACACTCCCTGGAACTGGGAGCTCTCTGGCCCTGGGCTGAAGAGAACTTGAATGCTTCGGGAGCAGCAGGACTCGTGGGGCTCTGCTGATGCAGACACACCCAGTGCCATCCCTTAGATTGCCTCATGTTCTTGGGCAGTCCTAAGGCTCTGTGCTGTTCTGTCTCTGGTTTAATAGGAGAAGTGGAAGATGCCAGTTCTACTGTATTGGATACAGTGAAAGAGGATATAGTGTATTGTAATGTGGCAGAGTCCTCAAATCCTTGTTTAGGCGAAACTGCTCAGTATTGGGAGGAGTTTCTGTGGGAGAGACTCCTCATTTGCAGAACTGCAAAGCCAGTTGTGGTAGCCCATGATCTTTGGGCTGTGCACTCCAGCTATTCATTTTAAAGTAATATTTAAGCTGCAGCTTTGTCTATTCTAAGTATTCTTAGTGTTCAGGTTGTTCTTAGATGAAGGATAGGTGTGCCCCCTGAGATGCTGAGCAGGAAGGGAGGCCAGAAGGACAAGAAGCAGCAGTGACAGCTGGAGCTGCAGCCAGTCCCAGGCCCTGGGCCCTGACCCTGTTTTGTGTGTCCTGGGTCCTCCCTGCCCTGCCTCTCCCTTTCTCTCCTGCACTTTTGTGACACCTTTTTTTCTTCTCTGTACCTTTTCTCTTGATTCTTCTGTCTCGTCAAAATAGGGCTTCTAGAACTGTACCAGCATGACAGAAAGGGCCCAAGGCAATACTGAAATCACTCTCTCCTTTGGGTTTTAGCGTCCTTTGTACAAAGGCTGAGATAGCAAAAACCAAAAAACATTGCATGTTTTCTGTGACAACTAAGCATAAAGACTTCTCACTACTTTCCTAAGCCATGTCAATCTGCAGGAACACTGGAGGACTTTTGGGGAGGAAAAATTAGGATAAAAGACTGTGTCAAAAGACTGAAGATCACCTTAAAGAGCAGGGTTGGGTTTAATAATGCTATTTTGTTGACTTCAACACTGTTTCTCTCCAATGTTTTTAATGAGAAATGTAAAAACTAGGATTATATTTGCATTTTCAAACACACTTTTCTGTCCTAAAATATCTTGTAGTTGTTAATGTATATTTTTACAGCTGTGCAGTCTATGATAAAGACTTTCTTTTGAAACTCAGCAGCATTTTGGACTAAAGCAAACTTTAAGGGTGGGATTTGCGGGGAGGTTTGTTTTTGTTTGTTGTAGTTTCTGGTTTTGTTTTTGTTTCATTTGGCTTGCCTTTTTTTCTAACACTGAGCGTATCAAAGAAATCAAGGAATAATGTGTAATTGTAGTTTGAAATTGTTACGTTTTTACAAACAATTACTTTGAACTCTGGTTAACTGTATTTATCTAGTGTGGTTCAGTATTCTTCAACCATTGTGCTGCCAAAAACATTTAGAAATGCCTTGGTGAGAATTTTTGCTTTGGTATTTTAGAAGAAAGCAGCGTAGGCCACGTTGTGCTGCCCACATGCAGCTGTAAGACATTTGTTCCTTGTCTGAGACATGGAAGGATAGTTTTGTGTTGTCCTGCCAAGTTCTGTTTGTGTATTGTAGTGCCTTTACCTATGTCCTAGGGCTGTTTTTGGTCCCTGCTTGTTTTTTTTTTTTTTGTATGAAAGCTGGTTTTTCTAGTCTTGCAACACCAACAAAAAAAGGAATGTAAATGGCAGTTGCAGTGCTAATGTCACATCAACCCTCATTGTTTGTAGGTACTGCATTTTTGGAGGCAATTAACTGATGTCTTCAGTCTGTTGCTTTTTGAAGTTGTTGGATGTTTTGGGGATTACAGTGATGAGACCTGAACATAATGGTGTGTGCCCTGTAGTCATACCAACACTGAAAATTTTCCAGGTGTTCCCTCTAAGTTTATATGATGCTGAACTACAGACACATGTAAAAGCAACCAAAAAACCCCTGTTCTGTGGAAAAACACACCCTAAAGAAACATCTATGTGTGAAATTCTGAGACTTGCTGTAAGTATAGATGAATTCTTCTGTAATGACTTGGATCATATGTTATCTGTATAGCAGCCATACAAAAATAATAGAGCTACTCTTCACAAAACTCTTTTCCTGAGTAATAGCAAGCAAAGTTTTCTGTATTTTGTCAAAGCAAGTCAACTACATATACAAATAAATACATACTTTTACATCAGTACTTCAAAATACAAAAATATATGCAGCTCTTTGGAAGAAATTAGAAGTGAACCCAGACCTTTGCAGGTATTTTTTCTTGTACAATATACATGCTCTAGGAACTGGATACATCAAAATTATATTTTAACAACAGTAGACTTATGGCAATTCACTGTATTCACAGAATATATAGAAGCAGACTGAATAGATTCTTAATACATTTTGGTATTGGATAAAGTTCTGTGTTAGATATGCAAGAACATAATTTTAAACGTTAATGCCATTATGTTGTCACAATTATTTTAGCTTGAGGAGAGTAATAGATTAAAACTGATTTTTCAGGGATTTTACAGTCAGGAGCTGTAATTTAACCAGAAGTAAGGTAATTAGAGATAGATCCCGAGCTGCGTCTTATCAGATTATAATTAGTCTTCTTTGAATAGCAAATTGAGACACACTTGGTTTGTTACATATTGCCATTCAAAATATCCTAGTATTAAATATAGCTAGTTATGTTATTACTGGCACACTGTGCTTGTGTAACTGTGGGCATCAGCATATCTGAAATAAATACAGAATTTCTGTTCATACTTATTTATGTATTGAAACCTGTAAAGTTTCTCATTTTTGTATACAGAAAAAAAATACTAATTTGTATGTAGATGCATATTTTATTTTATTTAAAATAAAAATATAGCTATTCTATACAAGATTTTAGAAAATAAGAAATTATATGGAGGCCCCTTCTGGAGGGGGGCTGTATGTAAATGGGATTATTAAACCAACACCCTGGTGTCTGGACTAGTTTAATTCATTTTGTACCTCCTTTGGGGGCGAGTAAAAAGGATAGGAGTTGGAGTCTGGGTGGTGATGATGTAATTTGGGGCACCCCAGTGTCACTGCAAGAGTGAAGATGCAGTGGAGGAGAAGGTGAGTTGGGTGTGAGAGGGGTTAGGTGGGGTCCTCCCAAAAATGGAGGTTGCAGCCAAAAAATGCTTAGAAGTTTAGGGGCTGTGCTTGTGCAAAAAAATATTAAAAATTGTAGCCTTACTTATCTCTATATAAAAAGAATTTTTAAAAAAATTACTTGCAACTACAGTCCTGTATCTACTGAATTGTATACAAGGATCTTGGAGTATAAGAAATTCTAAATATAGATACAGAGGGTTTAAAAATGCAAGTACAATAATTTAAGGGCTTGAAAATGGAAGAAAGTATCTCTGTGAAAGCAGTAGAAATAGCTGTCAGTGTTCAGAGGGTTTTCTGTCTGACACAGCTGGAGATCTCAGCCGGGACAATCACTGCTGCTGCCTGATGATGAGCACTGCATATTGCAGCTCCCGTGGGAAATGCCACACTCAAGATGGCGGCCCAGGCACGTGGGTGACACCGTCCTTCCCAGATGGCGGCCAGTCACACATGCGCTTTGAGGAGGACAAAACGGCATTGCGGCAGGACCTCTCTCCTTTTCCTGCCTGCCTGAGCCTGACGCGAGGCCCAACCACGACTCCACACTTGCAGCTTGATCTTGTGTGGCGCTTTCCAGCGTGGGGACACGATGGGGCGAGAGCAGAGTTGGAGTTTGGCTCAGGCAGCAGGACAGGCGCCTTTCTGAGAAGGGGGGCCCTTTTTCCATGCTGCAGAAACAATGGGGGCGTAGCCAGAAGTGGCTTCTGCCAGATCCCAAGATGGCGATGACAGCTGGAAGTCACGTGACACCACACCCAAAGGTGGCGGTGATTAACTGGAAGTGACATCTGCCAGTAACAACGACGGCAAATAAGGGCGAAAGTCACGTGATGCCACACCAAAGATGGCTGTATGTGACTCATCGTGTTCGTCTAAAGATGGCATCATCGTGCACTTGTGCTTTTGGGTAGGGACAAAAATGACGCCACAGAAGGACCCCGCTTGTCAGAAAGGTGTCCATTTGCCTGCCTGAACCTGAGCCAGCTCTGACACTGCCACCGTGCTTCTAGTGTAATTTTCTGTCCCCGTCCCTGGTGTGGGGACACGGGTGGCAGATTCAGTGGAGCTGGAGACAGGCAGGAGACGCGCTGGCAGTGGCAGGTAGCGGTGGGGTCAGATCTGATTCTTTCAATGAAGTTGAGTCAACCCTAAAGCAACCCCCCCACCCTTTGGCTCCTGTCTTTCTTTGGTGTGGTTCAGTCATTTTTTCCACTGTATTTCTTGCTTTGCTTCTCACCTTACTTTTCAGTCTATTCCTCACTTCACTTTTCTGTTTCGGACTTTATTTCTGTCTGTCTCTAACTGCATCTCTCTGCTTCATCAGCTCTGTTTCTGTTTCTCAATCTTTCTAACTCTATCTCTCTGCTTCTCTATGACTATTTCCCCTCTGTTTCTCTGTTTCCCTATTTCATTATTTCACTTTCTTTTTCTCTATATACTTTATACTTGAAATCTGTTTATTTTTCTCTCTAGCTTTAACTGTATTTCTTTTTCTCTCTATTTCCTTTTCTCTCTAACTGTATCTTTTTCACTCTATTTCTTTTTCTATTTAACTTTTATGCTATTTCCTTTGCTCTTCAACTCTGTACTGTATTTCTTATTCTATTTCTTTTTATTTCTAAGACTATTTCTAACTTTTCCTTTCTATCGATACAATACATAGTACAAATGATATTATATATATCTTATTATATATGTCATATATGTTGTCTATCTAAATATCATACATCAATATAATATATAACCACTTGTTAATGTGAATGTAAATATCAAAAATATAAATGTAAAAATATTTAAATATAGTTTAAAATAAAGGGGTTTTTTGTTTTTAATTTTGCAATAGGCAGGCGTTTTATTATAAAAATTATAAATAAAATAAAGGTAGAAATCTAAATATAGAAATATATAATAAATATATAAAGATATAAAAATTAAAAAGCTAAGTAAATATAAGTATTAGCAGTACATATTATATATACTGTTAATAATTTATTTACATTACATTTTGATATACATTATATATTTATCAATATAATACATCAGTAAAACTACAAATGCAAATGTGAATATAATTATGAAAAATATAAATAAAAACTATTTAAATAGCTTAAAAGAAAGGGCTTTTGGTTTTTGTGTTAGAGGCAGGGATTTTATTTTAAATACTATGAATATACATATTTTGATACAATTCTAGATATAGAAATATACTAAATATCTAAAAATATAAGTAATAGGAAGATATATAATTTAGAATATAAATAACACTATACATCAATACACATTTTAAATGCAAATCTAAATATAAAAACATGAAAGACATAAATTTAAAAAAATTTAAATATGGTATAAAAGAAAGCTTTTTTGGTTTTTATTTGGGTGGAGACAGGTTTTATTTTAAATTATATAAGCATTATAGAAATATAAATCTAAATATAGAAGTATATAATCAATATATAAAAATATATATAAAAATAGAAATAGAAATAAAGTAATAGAAATATATGTAATATAGAATATAAATTACATTATACATCAATATACATTATAAATATGAAAAATACAAAAAAAAAATATTGTCTAAAAGGGGTCTTAATTTTGGTTCTTATTGGGTTAGAGGCAGGTTTTTTATTTTTCTTCCGGGTGGTTTTGGGGCATTTATTTTAGAGGAGTTTTTGGAGGGGATCGCACCTGTTCGTTTTTGCCCCTTCCCTGCCCGCAGCCCCCGGCGTGCGGCACCCCGGCTGGGGCGGGCGGCAGCGCTGCCGCCTTGTGGACAGAGCGCGGTACTGCAGCCCCCCCACAAGCAGCCGAGAGGCGAAAACGCCGCTCTCTGCCGAAGTGCTGCAGCGGGCGACAGCGGAGGAGAGGGTGGCCCGGGACGCGCTTGACCTTCTCAAGATGGCGGAAAGCAAGGGCGGGCAAATCGAAGACCTCGGTCCGCCTACTGGACTGCCTGCACGGCACCCCGACGCCGGCGCGGCTCCGGTGGCATTTTCTGTGTCCTTTCCGGTGCCGTGGACACTGACTGTGCGCTCAGCGGCGCCGCGAGCGGGCGTATTTCGGTAGGTTGCTGACAGGCATCGGCGAAAACGCGTCTCTCTGCCGAGGTCCTCTCGCTGTCGACATATTGGGAGTGGCGCGTCGCCTGACTTGCTTGACCTTCTCAACATGGCGGGGGGGGGGGGGGGGGGGGAAAATCCAGGTTAGCCGAGTTTAGCCGAAGAGCCGAAAATAGCCGAGTGTGGCCGAGTTTAGCCGAAGAGCCGAAAATAGCCGAGTGTGGCCGAGTTTAGCCGAAGAGCCGAAAATAGCCGAGTGTGGCCGAGTGTAGCCGAAGAGCCGAGTTTAGCCGAGTGTAGCCGAAATAGCCGAGTGTAGCCGGTGATATACGAGTTTAGCCGAAGAGCCGATTATGACCGAGTCTAGCCGAACCGAGCCGAGTTCAGCCGAAGAAATGAAACAAGCCGAATTTAGACGAAAATCCGAATTTAAACGAGTTTAGACGAAGAGCCGAACGAAGGCGAATCTAACGGAATGCAGCCGACAATAGCCGAGTTTTGCCGATAACAGCTGAATTTAGCCCAAGACCGGGTTCTGCCGAACCGAGCCGAGCTCCGCCAAGCGCAGCATCCCGGGCAGGACGGGACAGGCTCGGGATGGAGCCGGGGCTCTGTGAGGCTTCCCCTCCTGTCCCTCTCTCTACCCCTCCTTCCTCCTCCCCGCATTCCCCTTAGTTATCTCCCTTTCCCCCTTTCGCTCTGCCCCCCAAACCCGGATCCTTCCTGTCCCGTCCCTACTCCGCTACTCCGTTCTATTCCCCCTCTCTCCCTCCTCTGTCCACGGTCCCTCTTGAGGACCTTGGCTGGATTTGCATCTCAGGACTCTCAAGTGAAGTGACCTTGAGACAACAGGGCGTGCAGATTTCCGTGCTGTTGAAAAGAGCTATTGTTCGCACCCAGGAGGGTCTGAACGGGGGTGTCACCTCTTACATTTGCAAATGTCACAGGATTTCTTCTAAATGAATGTTGCTAAGAACATAAGGTCTGGCTGGCTTTGGACTTAGAGGTGCCTCCTCTAAATTGGTAAGTGCTCCTGCAAATGCCAAATAGCCCTTGCTATGCAGTTAATCAGCTTCAAAGTACCATCAGGTTGCTGCCCCTGCAAAGATTTTGGCAGGGCCTGGTTGTGCTGTCTCCATCCCACTCCCCTTAGCAGGTGCTTATGGTTGTATGGGGAATCATCATGAAGCATGCCAACCCAGTTCTATCCTATGAAAAGCACCTGTATTTTATCCTAAAATTTTTGTCCCGTTAAAACACCTGTTAGAATATAAATGTAACTTCTCTGTTTCCTCTGATTTTACCCCTAGTCATCTTTCCATACAAACATTGCTCCACTCTCCTTAAAAAAGTTTAATAAAGGAAAAAAGGAGAAAATAATCCAGCACTGGGGTGCTTTTGGCCAAAGAGCGCAGAGGCAGCTTACAATCACGTTCACTATATACTGGTTACATTGCTGTGGTTACACGCGTATTCATTAGCTCATACATTATTCAGAAATTCATTTGAGTTTTTGATCTTCCAGGAACTCTCTTGTTTGGTTTTAACCACTGACTTGTCTGCAGAACATTCTGTAAATAAGGTCTACATATTTTATTTCTTCCTATAGTTTTATCCTGTTGTTTCACACTCCCTGATAGTGCAAATAGAGTCGACAAATCCTTCCTGGATGCTTATGCTCTGTTTTTGTCACTGTTACCTTATCACTTGGAAAGGTTAGTATGCAGATATAAGAAACAGAATAATTGCTTTACACCATTCTCTGAGTTAGTTACATAGAAATATTTTAGTCTCTATTTTAACATTTTGCTGAAGCCTATGATAAAATATGTGAAAAACACCAATCACTTGTTTTTAAAATTTTAAAAGTTTAATAATAATAAAACGGTTATAAAACCAGTAATATAATTAGAATAATAAAAATTTGGACAATTAGGATTAGGACAACATGAGACAATAAAAACAAAGAGTTACGGACAGTCTGGGTACCTCTTTCTGGGCAAAATAAGCCTAAAAAAGGACACACATTAACAGAGGATTAACCCTTAAAAGCAATAGCTTGTTGCATGTTCATACATCTCAAACATGATGCATAACTCCCATTCAAACAAAGGATTCTGTCTGGTCAGTGTCAACTTCTTCCTCTTAATCCTGAGGCTGAGCAAGGCAGGAAGAAGTTAGTTTCTTCTGATAAGTGAGCAATAAATTAGGTGTCCTGTGGCTGCTATCTCGGTGGGAGTACCTCATTCCTCTCCTTTAAAAAAAAGTATCTTACATAGTATTGTTTCTATTTTAACATTATGTTATAACCTGAAACTATATTTAACACAGTACTTAAGAAAATTAATACAGCATAACTTTCTAACATAACACATATACTATTCATTTTAATATTTGCGAAAAGCCAATCATAAAATACGCATCTTTCACATAATATATTTACCACACTACTATTCATATGAAATATACAGTGCATACATAAACTGGCATATTATACTATACAAAGTAGTTAAAAGTAAGTATAAGTTGTACCATATCAAAATTCTTGTGATGCAAAAAGCAGCCCGCGCTCCGCCCCACGCTCCCACGGGCCGCAGCCTCACAGCCCCCAAGCCTGCCAATCCCGGCCCGCCTTTCTTCTCCGCCCTGTCCAATCACAGCCGCCCTTTTAATCCGAGCGCGGTCCCGCAAATCTCAGCCTGCTCAGTCGCGGCCCAGCCCTTCAGCATGGCGACACTCACCCGCCACCGACCCTTCTCCGCCGCTCTCGCTTTGGGAGCCGGTGGAGCTATGTCCCCGC